GGAAGGAGATATTGGTGATTCTATTTCAGAGGAAGCCTGGGAAAACATTGTTTCACGTATACACACACCTCTTCTTTCTGTATTAGACATGGATTAATCCAATTGAAGGTGGTACACCGGCTACATTACTCCAACGACAGACTAGCTAAGATCTTTCCCAGTGTCGCTCCAACCTGTCCCAGGTGTCATTATTCTCCTGTTTCCCTGGGCCATATGTTCTGGTCATGTCCGTCATTAAGCAGTTTCTGGGCTTCTGTGTTTCGGTCACTCTCTGCAATATCTGGCAGGATACTATCGCCTAATCCTCAAACAGCTATTTTTGGAACTGTTAATACTGGACTAGGGTTCTCCTCCCTCCACAAAAATGCGATTGCCTATGCGTCGTTGCATGCCCGCCGTCTCATACTGCTGAATTGGAAAGGAAAAAATCCCCCTTCCTATATTCACTGGATCAGGGAAGTGATGCTTGGGCTAGACTTGGAAAAATTGAGATATGCAGTGCGCGGTTTAGTCAACAAATACGACAAAACTTGGTCGCTATTTATTACCCATGTTAGAGGCCTATCGCTCACCTGATTCACTTTGCATCTGTCTTTGACTATTGACCTGGGCACTCTGGGGTCACTAACTTTGGACTTGAAGTTGTTACGTACCTTGTCAGACTAAGGGTTTGGAAGGCTGGCAATAAGAATAGCATAAACTGAAATGCTTTTTTGGGTTATGTGATGTTTTATTATATCGGATTATCTACTAGTATACTGTCTATTATCGTCATTTCTGTTGTATGTGTTTAATCTGGTCTATTCCTTATTTTTTCATTTATTTTACTTGTATTTATATATTTTATTTCCATGACCATTCGTTTTTTTTTTCTTTCGTTTGTCTATTCACTGGGGAATAGCACCTGGAGGGGGAGAGGGGTGGGATCTGGGGCGTTTGCAACTTGTTGTCATAAATGTTGGACATACTGTATTTGTGATAAACTGAAAAATAAAGTTGTTTAAAAAATTAAAAAAATACCAACCAACTATGTGCAATATGTGCAATATGTGCAATATATATATATATATATATATGCCGTTAATAACTGTACAATATAACCTGGCTGCTAAATCCTCAGAACTGTTACAGGATGTGTATTTTGTAAATTGTGTAACTTTTTTAAATTATATAAAAACTTTTGTTTGTACTTTAACACTTGTGTATGCATGCTTCTACGTAACATTAAGCTGTCTTTGGCTTTTTTCTGCTGTAATAACTTACATTTGACTAATAAAGGTATTCTGATTCTGAACAACTTTTTGGTCCATTAGAATATTGTTCAAATGCTATTTCAAACCGAGCCAGATTGTTCATTTTTGTCTTTTTATGACATCAGCGACAGAAAGACAAATGATAAAATAACAACCGGCCTTATAGACTGGGGCTGTTTTTTCTTTAGAATCTCAATTTGAAGGCTGAATTTCTCAGCCACACTTGAGGGAGGGTTTTTGAAAAAGGCAGGCTGTCACCGTGTTATAACGTATTAGATCTTAAGATGCGCACTTCAGAGGTGCAATGCTGTGAAGTACATCTATTCCAGTGAGCTGGCGCTGATTGAACAGACTTTATTGGCAACTTCAATCAGGACAGGTGTCAATCAAAGAGTAGAGAGTGTTTTTTGTGCTTTCAACAGGCAACCATAAAGCAACACGAGAATAATGTTTGTTTAATAATATGTTTTCTTTCGAGGCGACACAGATGTTCTTTTTGTTGTTGTGACATTCTGAGGATTAAGTGAACAAACAAATAAAGGTTTGATATGAATATTTATTTAAAGACTTCTTACAGAAATAGTCATTTTAGATCAATATGTAGTGGCTTCCATATTTCATAGGAGAACAGTAAAACCTGTGCTGTCTTACAATATCACTGACCTCAAGAACTGATTCAAAGTATACAATATGTATCGATGGACAAATCATTTTAAGTGTCATCACAAGCATCATGCAGAAGCCATGAATAGGTGAGTCTTGGCGGATTAATTGTATCTGTTTATGATGAAATACAGACGTGTGGTACATTTAAAATGTGGCTGGATAACACAATACCTCATCTGAATGCTTCTGTCCCTTTGAGACATTTCTCCGTTCAAATCATTCTCCCTCTTATTCACATCACTTCAACCACTGAGTGTGAGAGAACAATGCTGTGAGATGATGTCTGATGAGTGGCCGTGCATGAGCGTATACCAGAAAAAGAAAGAAAAGGCTTCAAAAAAACAACCAAAGGCATTGCACATTTCCAAGATTAATCAGTGAGATTTTTAAGGCAAAAAAGTTGTCGAAAATACTCACGTAAAGATGTCATATTACAATTATTTTTTAAACCCCAGCGATGCATCTCTGTTCGTAACAAAATCCACCCATGCAAACTCAATGCATGCTTTTGAAAAGAAAACATCAGAATAAAACAGGATATTCATCACGAGCATTCGATTGAACCACTTTGTTAATATTATAAAAGGTACAGTAAACAACTTTAATGTTGTGTGAAGATTACGTGGGCGTTGATAAGGCCGCGCATGCTGACACGGTGCCGCCTTGGTGACACGAACAATGAGCGGTGTGAGGCTACCTCATTAAAATGCTGTGTGTCTCTTTGTAAATGTTATTGGCCTTGTAGTCTCCTCCACAATAAATGCTTTTGATCGTCACTCCTACACTGACGCAGCCTCAGAGGAACAGCGGTTTCTCACGTGACAAACCTAGCGCTACATGTTAAGTCTCTAAACTCCACGGGGTTCCTCTGCATTTCATTATCTCCTCCTGAGGGGAAATGTATGCGTGCCAAAGAAAAGACCTACATTTTTATACTGCAAATCACAGAGTAGCATGGTAGTTTTATTATGACGCGGCTTTGTAGTCATCGGCACAGAGTTTCTCAAGCCCTTTGTGGCTCTGACCTATTTAAAATCAATTTGTTAAACCCCTCCTGTCCAATCAGCAGCTAATTTAGGCCTGTTAAGCTTAGGATTTCTTCTCATGTTGAAGCTGGTGTCGGAATAATCAGAATGGATACTGGATATTCGCCTGAACGCTGTGTTGATTTCACATTACTGAGAAACGTGGCCATGAAAAGAGACATTTTCACACCTAATGCAACGTTTCATATATTTATATATTAACATATATTTATATATTAACAATTTAGTTCTAGGTCTTTCAAATGTGTCTCAGTTCAACGTTATTCTTGATATACATGATTCAGGCATTAGTAAATCCTTCGACTATGACCTCAGATCGAGGCAAACCGCAGAATTTAGGCATATTAAAAAGTGGAGAGAAATAAACTAACCATGTCAATTTGTGCGGGAACAGAAAGTTTGAGGGAGGGGCTCTAAGGGTGCTAAAGCTTAGAAACTGGTCAATTGGTTTGAATATCTCAGCTATGGATGTTGTTTTTTTGGTCACACTTGTTGGATCGGTGAAAAGTATGGATTTGGCAGATTTGGATCCAGTAGTTCAGGAATCACATTTTCTCTTAAGAGTTTAAAGAGAACATATTATGCTCATTTTCAGGCTCATATATCTGTATTTTGTGACTCTACTGTGACACGTTTATGTGATTGGTTAGCTGGCCGGCTCTGTTGTGATTGGTCAACCGCTTAGAGATGTCCCGCCCCTTAGCCTATCACGTACAATGTGTTTGAGCGCTAGCCAATAGAAGCGTGAGTGTTACATGGAAACAGGCTAGAGCAGGGGTGTCAAACTCAAGGCCCGGGGGCCAAATCCGGCCCGCGACTTCATTTTCTGTGGCCCCACAAGAGCTTGCAAAGAATATAATATGTTTATTATACGGTTACATGCAGATTTATAGAAGCACGTTGCCCATGAAATACATGTCCCACAATGCATCTCAAATTAGACTTTTTTCTCAGAATTTGAATTGAACCCTTTTTTTTACATTACTTTTTTTCAAAATGTCGCTTTTTTTTGTGACTTTTTTTTCCAGAATGTGGCTTTTCTTTTTAAATCATTGTGACATTCTCACTGAAGAGACTTGCAATTATTTGCCCTAGACTTCTGCTTTCAGACGTAGTTCATTACTAAGTTATTACCCTATCCGATAATAATCCAATGCAGAGGCAATGATGTAATATAATTAGGGATGCACGATATTGTTTTTTTGAAACCGATACCGATACCGATAACTTCCTGCTTCTCAAGACCGATACCGATAACAAAAAAATCTTTACGCCACTAATTATTTTAACGCGATTAACGTATGTGTATTTTTTTTCCTCGGCCGCCCCGTAGTTTCAGAGCGCATCGAGTTTAAAATACCATCTACAAGCTGATGCTGACAGCCCCGCTCCTGTCGCCCGCTTGTGGCAGACCACACTTCCACGCTCACCGGCAGGCACCGACTGGCCATCGGGAGGACCGGGAGGGTGTGTGTATGTGTGGCCCGAGCGAGCGAGAGAGAGACCTTACGTGCATTGTTGTTGTTAGCATCTGGTGCTAGCTAGCTGCGCTAACGGATATACGGAGCTGTTTAAATGAAAACAGAGGAGCGACATTTCGCCACAACTGCGCCGAGCACTTGACTTTATGCAGGAAGCCAGACAGTGGGACATTGTACGAAAAGTGTGCGCAACATGATTGCAGCGTCCAGGCAGCTCCGGTTCGAGCATATGCCTTGAGTTGCGTCACAGCCAGGCATGAGTTAGGGAGCGCTGGATTTGTGAAAAACTCCCCTCTTCCTAAACCACTAATACCACAGTACTGGCAAAACGGGAGGAGCCGAGTGAAAAACAAGCGTCCCTCATCCCAATCCACCCACACCGCAGTATTTTTTTCTTTTTTTTACCCAAAAATATATTGTATATTATCGGGGCTATTAATACTGGTATCGGGTTTATCGGGATGACGTCATAATTCCTAATATCGGACCGATAATTATCGTGCATCCCTAAATATAATACATTATATATTTATATATGTATATTTATATAGTCTTAAAGTCACAACCGGCCCTTTGAGTGCAACCTTAATGCAAATGTGGCCTGCCATGAAATTGAGTTTGACACCCCTGGGCTAGAGGGAAGGGAAACCCCAAAAACAATAATAGGGGCTCTTTGAGATAGTATTGCCACTATTTTGTCAGTCTGCACTTTGTATAAATAATTTTCCTCATGCGTGTCATTATTCTCTACAATGTATTTGATGAAGATCTAAATTGTGCAATTCAAGGAATGCACAGCTTTTATGGAGAATTGTTCTCACTAAGTGCTTTTTACTTTTGAAATAATTCATCTGGAGTTGCCTCTAAGGTCGTTAAACAGAATACTGTATGTGCTATTCAGACATTTCCATAACAGCTTGCTAATGCCGTTGACTTTAAAAAGGTTGAGGAATTCTGCTTAAGTAGATGTATCGAGCATAAATATCACGTCTTTGAAACCGCTGTTTCTCTGAGAAAAAAACCAAGCGATAAAACTCTTAATCCTCACTCAACCTTGGCCAAGTTATGTAAGTGTCATGCATGTTTCATATACAAATACATGTACTGGATGTGCAGTGTATACGAGAGTGCGGGTGTGAGATGAAGTCGACAAGATGTTGTGATGAATAAATGAAAGGCCCTGCCTTGTGTTTCAGGAGGAGAGTCACAGAGTCCCGGCAGTTTGCTGCAAGTCTACTCTCCACAAAACATACATATACAGTATATACAGAGTTTATACACTTATGTACATATAAAAACACTTTTCCTGCCTGTTCCAGTGCTACATTGTGCAATAAGACATCCCCGCTGTCGAAAACAGGGTCCCGACAATACAGAAGAGTACAAAATCTAGCGGCCCACCTGTGCCCACACTGAAGTACCCTATTCAGTCAAACTGAATAACCGTCTGTTCGGAAATGAGTCTCGGCCAACAGTGAGACGCTACACCTAACAAAATGTCGGATTTGGCAGGAAAATGTTGCTACGGAGTGGTCTACTTTAAACATATGTATCTAACCATTTGCTTATAAAAAATACAGGCCTGTCGTTCATGATTTAAATATGATTAACTTATGTATAAACATGAATAAGGCCTGTTAGTCATGATTTAAATATGATTACAGGCCTCAGTATAAAATGTTATATCAGCAGTAAAGAAGCAGCATTTACATATACAGTATATTGACCCATACACAAAAAAAGGCAAACATTTGTACAGTGTATAAATGTCTAAGAAAATGTTTCACAAGCGGTTTATAAGTAGATATCTTAGTTAAGCCAAGAATATAAGATGACTTTGAGGCGTACGTTTAGAAAAATGCTGTAAACCTTCTCTCACATGGATTCCTTGACTGAATAGGGCCCGGAAAAAGTACTGAAAGGATCAACAGTGCGTCGAATACATGCTGATCTTCACACATGTACACCTCTACGGACGGTGGCTGTAGCTCTGATAGGAACGAGTTTGTGCTTTGCTTTACAGGTTTCATTAATTGGCAAAAAACAGCAAGGTTGCATTTGAGTTTCAGCCCGAAACTTGGCTAAAAGTTTAGTGCAATTACCCGTTTTATCTTAGTGTTATTTTGCCCCACTTTATAGAGGAATACTTCACGTAAACTACCACGTTGTGAGCATCAAACACTCACCATCTGTAGACTTGCTCTTTTGCAGATGACACGTAAAATGGATTCCAATGGTGGTTACAAATGTTTATGATGTCATGTAAATAGGATAATCTGACGGGGATTGTCAATTTGTTTCCACTTCATTGTATAATTCACCCCTCAAAAACTCAGTTAATCTGCATTATCAGGACTGTTTGATCCGATCGCATTAGATTGAAAGAGCTGGAAAAATAAACAACTCTCTTATCAGAATTTGATTCAAATGGTGCTAAACTGTGTAAATTAGTTCAAATGTGTTTTTTTTCCTTAAATAAATACGTTGAAGTGGAGTAACAACAACTCGTAGGAATGTGTTGATTCATCAATGTATGTTGCTAATTTGGAGATACACTTTTTGTGGTTATCTTTTTACTTTCTGCCACAGGTAAATGACCAAATCTTAATTTCCCAGACACAACTCTGAAAGGCTCAGTTGTTTTCCACCTACAAAGTTTCCAATAAACACCTATTCCAATCAATAGGTGCAAACAGGGGAAGTGCCACAGGAATCCATTGTAAGTGTGAATCTAAACTGAGAGCAGCTGCTGCTTCAGGAGGTGAGAGTTTGATACTGAAAACACTGTCTTGTTTTGGTGACTTTTCCTAAGGAAGTGATTTGCTACCTGCTACTGATTATTACTGGCCTTTAGTTACAATATAGTTGGACAACATGGAGTTCAAAACTGTGCTCACAGTCGGGGAGCTGCTCAAATAAAAGCATCCTTGCATTTTGGTTAGTTGTTTTTTTCTGTGCTCTTATTCACAGTGTGTTTGCAACACAAAGGTGTGAGTCACCTGATCTGAAAGCTACGGAAGTGCTTTTATTCTCCCCCTACAGTTTGGCAAATAATTCATGAATACTATGTGTGAAATGTAAAACTGTGAACTAACACGTTGCTATTCAAACAACCTTATTTTTTTCTTGGCAATACGAAACAAAGTGAGAGGTAGAGAGACGTCAAACCGAACAAAAAATGCTTCTGATGTACAAGAGACTCGAACACACAGTCAGGTTCGGTAGTGATGTGTGTTTTTGACTTCTGGGCTTGGAGAGAACCCATGGTGGACATTTATTCCGACAAAAGAGTAAGGCTGGTTCAAGTCCCTGCTGCATTTGATTTGAGCCGACTCCCAGGGAGCACAGCTTCCTTAGAGTCGCGGCAGGTGGACGGAGCAGGAGGCGGGAAGATTTCAGGTGGATGATTGGCTTGTTCTTAATGAAACATGGCAGTGGGGGTGGGGGGGGGGGGGTGGAAGGGACAAAGCCCTGAGTGCAGGACAACAGTGCATGCTTCTCTTTAACTAGCACATGCTCCATTTATTAAAAAAACAAAAACAAAGAATGTGGCACCAGGGCCTTTGAACAACCTCCTGTTTACGCACCCGAAAAATAAGACTCTTCTGAAAGGTTTTCACATTGAGCGGTATAAATTTGTAAACATTTATATATCGGGAGATTTCGTGAAAGACAGAGGAAGTGGAAATAGAAATAGAAGAAAAAGGGCCTCGGCAGTTTGGTCCCTTTAGGTCTGACACCTTCAAGCGATCTGTTTCCTGTTCACGCTTCCAGGTGGAGGAACGTGAGCGGAAGCCCCCCCCCCACGACCCGGCAAAACCCCCACCTTCGTCCACTATGGGAGAAAATCCTGTCTTCTAAAAGGTCGACGCATCCTATTTGGGGTTATCCGGATCATTCCCTCGGCTCAACGTTCCCGAAAGTGCACCATGAGAGCGATGGAGTTTCGCCGTGTTGCTCAAAAGCTTCCAGTGAAGAGTAGGAAGAAGAAGAAGCAGAGAGAGGAGAGGAGAGTCGGCAGGCCGGCGCTGAAACGAGGCCTCCGTCCTTTAGATTCGGCTTACCCGTCTGCAGAGGAGGGGGTGGACGGCCGGGGGGGGGACAGGGGGTGTAGGGGGGCGGCAGGGGGCCCGGTTTGATCCCTCGGGTCCTCATGTAGGACAGGAACTGGTCTGGGATTTCAGCGAGAACTTCCTTAGCGAGGCGAGCCATGCTGAGGATGTGGTTCCCCCGCCGGTCGATGTAGTCTCTGAAGGGGACGAACTGTGGGGGGGAGAGGAGAGGGGACAAGGTGAGGAGAGGAAACAAGAGAGGAGAGAGAATGAGAGGAGGCAATAGGAGAAGAGAGGAACAAGGAGAGATGAGATAAGCAAGGGGAGAGAGGAGAAAAGGACATAGAAGAGAAAAGAAAACAAAAGGGGGAATACAATTAGAGTAGGGGAGAGGAAACAAGGTGAGGACGTAAGGAAAGGAGAAAAAAGAGAAGAGAGAAGAAACGAGGAGTACGGAGCCCTGGAGGGTTCATAGAGAGAAAAATAAATAAAACGTGGCCACGTTTTACTTTCTCGTGCGCACGCTTTAGTAACTCGTGCGCACGAGTTACTAAAGCGTGGCCTCGTTTTATTTAAATTGAGGGATTCCTGTCCGTGACTCACAGTATCTGCTGCCCACAGCTGTTTTATAGAAGGAAAACCTCCTTCACTTTATGAAATCTCAGCAGCACCAGTGGCCTGTACTACGAAGCAGGATTGGCTATTTACACTATTCATTCATGAAGTATGACGCTGCGCTGTCAGCACGCGTCTCCATGTTTGTGATTGGTCAAATGTTGCTAACCCCGTCCCTTTCACCTGAGCGCGCTCTCAGCCGGACAGAGAAACCCTGGTTGATTTACTGAGTTGATAACCAGCTTCGTAGGACCGCTTATCGACATCGCGTTTGTTAGGGTCAGTTAAGCCGGGTAAATCGAACATATTCAGGTCCAGGGTCTGTTGAACTGGCTTCGTCGTACAGGGCACTGGAGGCAGTAACGTGTAACTCAGCAGAATCTGAGAAGAGCAGCACCAGCTGCAAAGAGCTGTGCCTTTTACTGTTTACTTCACTGCGTTTCCCTTCATTAGAACCGCTGAATAGAGATCGAGGCTGCTACGTTTAACCACACACACCTATACACACATCGAACTACCAGAGTATTCCCCCTCGCTTTATGAAGGAGATGTCCTGTCACCGGGGCGCATGATGCGTGTGTGTGTGCTCAGCTCCGCTCTGTGTGCGTGTTCGTGTGTATCCGACACCACCGGCATTTGTTTTCAAATTACCACGAACAGTACTTTAAACAAATCTGGTTCCCCATAGTTAAGTGTATTCCCAAGTGAAAGAAATGTGTTTAATCTTAATCTCGATGTGCACCGGAACGAACGATACTATCATAAACAAATGCCCCCCCCCCCATACACACACAAAACGAGGCCATGCTTTATTAACTCGTGCGCACGCTTTAGTAACTCGTGCGCACGCTTTATTAACTGCACACGAGAAAGTAAAACGTGGCCACGTTTTATTTATTTTTCTCTCTATGAACCCTCCAGGGCTCCGTAGAGGAGGGATAATACTATATTATTATAATATAGATTGAGTTTAGAGGAGACAGTAGGAGGGAGAAAGAAGAGAGATGGCAGACTGAGAACAAGAGCCCAGCAGAGGGTCAAGCACCGTGACCTTTCCCCATTCATCATAAATCCCACATTTCTCAGGAGACATTGTGCTGAGGGAAAAGTCCCACAGCAACGTCCTCTCCGGGGTGTTCTGCGTACCTGAACAATGTCCCGCTCTGCGTAGCGTCCTTGGGAGGAAATCCTCTCCTCGTCCCCGTCCAGCTCGATCATTTCTGAGGGAGGGAAGCACATCAGTCATGTCAAAGCTACGCTGAGCAAATATGGCCCACAGTGTGTGTGTGTGTGTTTATCTGCCGGAGCCATTAGCGTGCCACTGGGTTACATCTCCTCTGAGTGTTGGGAGTGTACAGGATTTGCGTCGCTGAGCGTGAAGCTGTGGGTCGCACATGAATGTGCACATAAGGGCTGAAACAAGCTAGAAATATGGGTAAGCAGAGGCAGCGATGTGCACCGCGGGGACATCATGCAACCGTGCACACACTGGCTCCAGGAGCGTGACAATCGCTGCCATCCTGTTGACTTTGCAGGCTAATTGCTCATCGAGAGCGAGTTTGTTTTTACTGCTCGGTGAATTGTAAACACGAGAAGGAAAGGTGTGAAACGTGGCTGTCGGCCATTAACAACAAAATAAGAGAAGAATAGAAACACCAGAGGAGAGGAACCAAGGAGGGGAGATAAGAAAGGGAGAGAGGAGGAGAGGACATAAGGAAAGGAGAACAAACAAAGAGAGAAGAAGAAACACTGATCAATGATAGGGAGAGTTGAGGAAAGAAGGAAAGGAGAGGGGAAAATAAAGGACGGCAAAGAAGTGAAGAAAAGGAAACAAGAAGTGAAACGTGGCCGTCGGCCATTAGCAAAATAAAGGAGAAGAGCGCCACCTCTGAACTGACAAATGAGAATCCACCTAACCTCAGAATCAGTGGAGGAGGAGGAGGAGGAGAGAAGAAAGGAGATGCACAAGGAAAGGGTGCAACCATGTGGGAGGAGAGATAGGATGAAGGCGAAGGATTACTGCAAGCAAACACACACACACACACACACACACACTCACTCTCTTACCATCAAATTCCGCTGGTCCAACACCAACTATTATAATTGACATCGGCAGAGAGGCAGCCTGTAACAAGGGGGAAAGGAGAGAAAATAGCCTCATCAAAGGCGGGGAAAGACAGTCTTTTCACTATTTGCTATCTTTAACGCCGCAGGCTGTCAGTGCTACAGCCGCGGGAATTACTAAATGAAAGCTAACAGTGCATAGAAAGGAAGCTCAATAGCTAAATTCAATGGCATTGTTAAGACAGACATGGGTCGGTGCAAATCCACCTGCCCTCTGCAGCCCGCTTTTCTAATTTCATGCATCTAAAACTTTTGTCTAAAGCCCAACAGCTTCCGAATGACTCTCTGCCTCCGCCCGGCATCGCAATATAGTTTATTAAATCTTATCCGGGTGGGACAGCGAAGTACAGTTCCAGTGTTGAATGATGGATGAGGGCGTTTTTTATAGCGCTTCATAACTTCCCATAGTTATTAGATAGAAGCTCTAAATTGCTTGAGATATGAGGGGCACGTATTCTCCGCGGGCTAGTAAATAATTACTCTCAAATCTGACTTTACAATAACATGACATCGCACTGAGGCTCTAATTATTGAAAAATCTTTACCCACATGAGCTCTGATCAGTCTAATTAGAAAGCATAGTTATTAGAGCTGAACGGGGTGAGGGGAAGGTGGAGGGAGAGTGACCGATCCCCCCCCCACTCTCCCCTCACCCCCTTCATTAGTGGAGAACAGAGAGAGGGAAGCAATAAAAGAGACGGAGAGATTTTCATATGCTGCCCGTTCATTTTGTTTGCGTGTTGGTTTATTAGGATGTCCATTAGTGGCTTAATCTCAGACGGACCTCCGGGGGGCCACACTCGCTTTACAGTAAATTAGCTGAATGAATATTAGCACACAGTGCATGGACTTCTGCTGCTGCACATCACACTGTAAATGATACAGTGGAGGAGTATAAGAAGCAGTACCAAATGGTAATAGAGATACGCTGTTACAGAATGTCCTACATTCAAAACGAAAGTGAAAGGACAAAAGTATAAGCATGGAAATACACTTACAGCAATCAAAGTAAAATGATTTGTTATGTCTAATGGCACATTAAAGAATCATAAACATTCAAATACTGAATTATGATTACTGATGCATTCATGTGTTCATGCAGCTGGTTAAATTGGAGCTAGTTAAAAATATCATATGTTCTGCGGGTGGATATCACAACCTATAACAATATATCAATGATTAATTATTTAGTTAATTTATGTTTTGTATTAACTACTTAATAGTACTGGAGTTAAAAAGTACAACGGTAGCTTGAAAATTGGCAGCGTAGAAGTATAAAGTACCATAAGGTAGAGTAAAAATACCTCAGAAATGTTCACTTTAAATAGGTTATCGAATTTCTAGTAAATGTACAATTTGAAGCCCTTATAGTTTACTTGAGAAGTGCTATTTAAGCTATTTTATAGTTCTGCTCTAATACATCTAAATGGCTTATATGGGAATGTATACTCCTGAGAGCTTTAGTTACTTTACAATTGTTCATACCTCTCCTGTTGTGTTGATTTTAAATGTTTTTGGAGGACCAATAATTCCTGCTTATTAAGCTTAATGAACTATTTTGAAAACCTCTTGGATGAGCTGGAAAGGATCGTCCCAAAGCTGAAGACAGAGCTGTTTTTATGAGTAAAAGTTGCATTTTTAGAGATAAGTGGTTCAGACAGGACAGCGACACTACAAACATACGATGATCTTGTGGAATATGACGCACTGTTGTGGATTAAACTAGCCAACTATTTAACATGTAGTGTAGCACTTTGACGGTACAGTTTTGATACTTTTACTGCAGACACAGTGGCGAGCCGTGACTTTTACACCTAGGCCCTCTGACCCCCACCCCTTCCCTCGAGAAAAAAATAAAATAAAAGAGTAATTACGTCACAGCGTATACTTCAGCGGAATATCAAAACAACGGCCCAGGGTGCAAAACGCATCAATGACAGCGACCGTCTACCACACAAAACAACACCTGTAAATAACCCAACTTGTGTTCTTTGAAATTGAAAAGGATGTTGCGTTGTGTTTGTTACTTTCATTGCAGTTGTCTGTCTTCAGTGTAATTTGGCATGCTTTTATTTTGAAGGCGAGTTTACGCTGTTGACAGGAAGTTGTTGTTGCTATGGAAACAAGAAAAGCTTCACAGCGGACGGAACTTGTCATAAAGTTCGCGATAATAAAACCCACCCATTTAGAGGAGAGATATGATTGGTCAATTGCTCTCTCGTTCAGTTACTCTGTGAATTAACAGCAGGACCACCAATCAGCTCCTGTCTTCACAGACTCGCAGAGATGAGCTTCTTTCATTTAACCCTTCACATTCAAACAGAAACTGAATAGGCAGATTCGAAGGATTTATTTCTTTGGAAATGTTATTTTAAATACAATTAAATCAAGTTATTTTGGTAAAACTAATGAAAAGTATAACTAAAAAAATTATTATTATTAAAATGTTTTTTAATGTTTTTAAATATTATTTTGTAGAATATCTTAGGCCCTCTCGGGCCTAGAGGGCCCCGACGGCTTGCCACTGGTAAGACATCTGACTACTTCTTTCCCCACTAAAATGTTAATGTTTCATGCTTAACAAAAACACATAGAGTACATCAATAGAATTTAAATCTGGTTCTGTACATTGACTATGGACTCCTTTGTCTGCGCCATGTCCGTGATGACGCCGTCAGAGATAATGAGCAGGATGAAGTACTGAGAGCCGTCCGTCACTGCTGACGCATACCTGGAGAAAGAGGGGGAGGAAAGAAAATAGGAAATCAGGCTCAGAGGTAGAATGGCTGCGTTTTAGGGAGCTAAGGAATAGCTTCACTTCACATGTCAAAAGTGCTAAGTCGAAGTACTATTTGTCAGTTACCACAGAAAACCTAAATAATCCTAGGAAATTCTGGAAAGCCATAAAATCGATATCCACCGGTGAGATCCGTAATGAGCTACCTCCGTGCCTTACCACAGCATCTGGCTCTATATCGGACAAGGCTACCATGTTAAATTGCTGTAATAAGCATTGTGTGTCCTGCGGTTCTCTGTTTGATTCTGTTTCTAACTCTGCTTCTGTGAACACCCCAATCCGTGACTCTGAACAATGTGGTCTGGAAAACCCTTTCAGTTTGACTCCTTTTACTGTTAATGTTGTTCATGAAGCCTTAACCAAGCAAGATCCTAATAAACCGGCTGGCCCGGACAACGTAGAACCTTTCTTTTTAAAGATAGCTGCAGATTTTATTGCTCCTCCTCTCACTACTCTTTTTAACCTCTCCCTCAGCACAAACACAATTCCAACAGTATGGAAGTCAGCGTATGTCTTGCCTTTACTAAAAGGAGGGGAGGCAACTATTTTAAATACATCCTGTCTAAACATCAGTCAGGCTTCAGAAAGCAACATAGCACCATCACTTCCACAATGAAAATGGTGAATGACATTACGAGTATTTTAGATAATAAGCGGAGTTGTGCAGCTCTATTTATTGACCTTTCCAAAGCGTTTGATACCGTCGATCATCGCATCTTAAAGCAGAGGCTACTCAGTATTGGCATATCCAGCCATGCAGTGGGGTGGTTTGTGAACTACCTCTCTGAAAGGTCCCAATGTGTTCACTTTGATGGGCTGTCTTCTGAGTGGTTAAACATTGCTAATGGTGTTCCTCAAGGTTCTGTTTTAGGTCCACTTGTATTCTCCACATATATCAACAGTTTAGGTGAAAATGTGAATGAAGCTACTTTACATTTCTATGCGGACGATACCGTTATGTATTGTGCAGGTCCCTCCATTAATTAAATTTAAATTACAGGCTGTTTTTAACATTATTCAGACTCAGCTCGCTGAGCTTAAGCTTCTTTTAAATGTTGATAAAACCAAGGTAATGCTGTTTTCAAAAGCTAAAAAGACACCAGAGCCTGTTTTAGATATTCTTACTATGCAAGGACAAGTACTTGAAGTGGTTACCAGTTATAAATACCTAGGTATCTGGCTTGATGATTGTCTTACTTTTAAACTTCATGTCAATAACCTGCTTAAAAAGCTGAGGGTTAGGCTAGGTTTCTTTTTCAGAAACAAGTCCTGTTTCTCTTTTGAAGCCAGGAAAAGGCTAGTCACTGTGACCTTTTTACCTGTGCTGGACTATGGTGATTTGATCTATTTGAATGCACCTGCCTATTGCCTGAACAAGTTAGATGCCGCCTATCACAGCGCACTGAGATTTGTCACAAATTGTAAAGCACTTACTCATCACTGTACCCTGTATGCCAAGGCAGGTCTGCCATCACTTACTGTAAGAGGCTCAGTCATTGGTACACGTTTATTTATAAAGCTTTGTTGGGTAAACTCCCGTATTATATCTGCTCTCTGATAACAGAGAGTTGCAAGCAGCTATTGTCTGAGATCGCATGATGTAGTATTGTTAGATGTGCCAAGAGCAAGGACTGTCTTAGGTAAGACAGCTTTTATGTGCGCAGCTCCACTTGCTTGGAACAATCTTCAGCAAGAATTGAAACTGAGCAATCTCATTCCTCTGCATGTTTTTAAAGCTAGGCTAAATGAAATGCTCGTTGATACTATGGCCACTTGTAAATGTCTATAACTATGTAAATGTATCCTGTAAATATAATGTATGATGTCCTTTATTGTTTTATGTTTCATGTGGAACCTATATGCTGCAGGTCTCCCTTGAAAAAGAGATCTATGATCTCAATGGGACCAATCTGATTAAATAAAGGTTTGAAATGAAATGAGCAAACATGAAATAGAGGCACAGAGAAAAAACTGCACTTCTTTTAACCTTTTATAAACGTTGAATGGGATTTTCTGCTGAACTCTATCCATTTAGAAAGGGTTACTCCACGGATATGACACATCAAGACCATTTAACTGGTCACAGGGAGTACTACTCAACGAAGCAAGCCTGGAAAGTTTTTGATACAACACCTTTCACATAGTGCTTTCACAGTCAAGCGGAGATGGAATCAAACCAATAGAATTCACAAGATAAAATAAGCAAGGGAAGCATACATAGCACACAAGTTAAACATAAAAAACAACATTCTAACTAAATCCTTTTCTAATGAGTCCACAGAGTCAGAGAACCCAGACACTAATCCAAAGCTTAGGCGCTGCCGACTGGAAAGAAAAGTCTTAAGATGTGTGCAAGGTTATATTTAGAAATCCTCGGGCAAAGGATGTAAGAGTTCTGCTCTTAGTTTAGGGTCGCAGAGGGTCCATACGTTTGGAGGCTTAGCATTCTTTATTGTGTTGTAGTAGAGTTCATTTAAACTTGAGGTATATAGTGCAAAGACATCAAAAAGTGTTGCATTTTGGGAGATGTGGGATCCATTGATTTTGGAGCTTGACTCACTAAAAGTTCTGATATCATTCTACATTTCCAACAACTTGTAATATCCCTATAATCTCCTTTTCTCAAAACATAATTGGTTGGTTTTATTACTTCGTGTTTCAGATTTGCGATGGCTGTGAACGTTTTTTATATTACGATCTATTAACAACTCCAGGGCTAATTATGTGAATGTATTATTGATGTTTCATTAAAATGCAATATCATTTAGTGTTGTGTGCCCAAATAAGGTATATTGTGTAAAACTATTTTTTAAATTATGGATTTTTAAGAAAAAGTGTTTTATAGGTTTTAGTGCATGTAAATGGTCCTGCCTGAAACGCAGGACTGCTTTACTTCCATAATATAATGACATCACTATGTAACACTAGCGCTTCTATTGGCTAGCGCTCCAACACATTGTACGTGATAGGCTAAGGGGCGGGATATCTCTAAGCTGTTGACCAATCACAACAGAACTGGCCAGCTAACCAATCAGAGCAGACTGGGCTCTGGTTTCAGACAGAGGGTGAAAAGAGGTGCTGCAGCACAGGCAGTATGAGAGAAATAAAGAGCTTTTTGAACATTAAAGCATGGAGACATGTCCCAGTAGAGAAACATAAAACATATATGAACCTGAATATGAGCAGAGTGTTTAATTGAACAAGATGCATGGAAAACAGTATACTTTAAATAAATTGATGCACCTTGGAATCAGGTATTTTTCTTTTAACTGTAAAAAGGTTTGACTTGATGTCACAGTAGTACAAGAGTATTTTGAAAGCATATGATACATACAACTTTTACGCACACAGACAGTTAGGAATTGTAACTGTCTGACTCAGAGTCACTTTTCTTTAGTGAGGTCATCCTGGGTTTTAGTCCGATGCTCCACAGAAGTGAGCGCTGAACAATGCTGCTATTCTCAGGCTGAGTGGGTGGACAGAGAGAGAGAGAGAGGATTTGATATCCGCTGATGAAAGGTAGGAAAAGTGCTTGTTACAGTCAGTCTTGATGATCATATCATGAGATCTGGGCAATAGGGAGCGTCAGGTGGAAGTGGGAAAATACCGAGCTACAAAACAGCATATTACGCTGTATCAACGGGTGTGAGAGTACATTTAGAAAGTGCTGCTGACAGCTTCTGGTGCTTTCAACATGAAGTGTGTTTCATGTGTTTAAAATATTTAAAACAGTGGAAGGGTAGCTTTTTATTATTTGTGGCTCCAATAAAAATGTAACTGCACTCGAGGGTCCACATGTCTCCTGTTAATGTTTTTATTAATTTAATAGTGAAGCAGTGGTACTTTCTATTTGTGTTTTCATTTATACTTTGTTCTAGCAATGGTGGGAGGCGAGCTTATAATTTACAGTGCTGTTTCTTCAACTGTTATTTTCAGTTTCATTTATTTCTGCTGTGTGCCTTGTATCAATTATCAAAACTTTCTGTTGCGGTTCGTACACGTGCAACAACCACAACATCCCACGTCCTTATGAAGGAGACCAGGCAGCACAATGATTGATGGGCTGCCTTAAAGGGATAGTTTGGATTGTTAGTGGTGGGGTTGTATGAGGTACTTATCCATTATCAGTTATTACGTTCAGTAAATGAACAATGACAGCACACCCCCAGGTTGGAGAAATCAGCATGGAGGAAAGCAATGAACTGCTGCGGGTGGAGACAGCACAGAACATATTTAACCACCTAACAAATCAAGGTCTACAATATAAAAGCAATATCAGTATAAGTGAACTGTATTTTTTTTATATTTCACGCCTTTACTTTGCAGTTAAATAACCCTTTCTGAAGAGGACGGGAATTCAAGCCGTTATCGATGCTATCTTCAACGCGACCTGACTCCATTGACAAAAGCAATAATTGTACCTCGCAGAATAGAGTGCCACAGTGACGCGTCCTAAGTTAGCATTGTACCACTTCCGGTTCCTTCGTCAAAAAGCAATGCAATTTCTCAATTCGCAATTTTTTTGTCGAAGGAACCAGAAGGAGTTTACTTCCGGGTTTTAGGACGCGTCACTGTGGCACTCTCTGTAGAGATGTTTTGGGTCTGCCACTGCCTCAATTGGTTAATTTGTTTGTGTTATTGTTTGACTTGTATGAATCCGTACTAACTACAGTCACACAGAACTACAAACTAATTAACGGCCAGCACCTTCCGATTCTGTGTCATAAAATCACAGTTTTTTTCCAATGGAGTCCGCTGGCTTTGAACAGAACATTGACCACAGCCAGTGCCGATTCTAGAGTCGGGGGGGGGGGGGGGGGGGGGGGGGGGGAAAACATTCACTGGGGGCCCCTCGAACCAGCTTTTCCTCACCACGCACAGCCAACAGCACACCCCCCCCCCCCTCCCTACCGCCCCCGGAGCGGAGCAAGGCAACTAAACTCAAGATAAGATGCAGCATTTGATGCATGGGGCCGCCTTGAGGGGGTTTCCCGACATGTCGTTGCAGTAAATTGGGGTGTTTCATGTTGTCGTTGCTGTGGACCTTCTTAATCTACCTTCTTTGGGGGCCCCCTTCTGGTCCAGGGCCCCAAGCAGTTGCCTGCCTTACCTGTCAACAAGCGGCGGTCCAGTTTTCTGTCCAAAGGGCTGTCCGAGAGCAAGGTAAAGCTGTGCAAAATGTCTAAATATAGCGTATACTGAAACAAATAATGATAAAATTGGTGCGCCTTTTTTGTTTAGGTAGCTAAAAGGAAATGTGCTGCTTCACCATAGTAAATTGATTATTTTAAGTGCATGTAATCCTTTCTGCTCCTCCAAACTCGTGGCATCCAAACCACCATCTATTATAGGTAACATACTTACTTTAGATAATTACCTACCTACCATACAAACCCAATTCAAGAACATATAAGATCAAATGATAGAGACCTCTATTGAGCCCCTAAGGGAAATTAAAGCAGCTGCAAAAAGAGAGTAAAACCCAGGCAGCTCATCAGTCATCGTGCAGACAGGTGACCTTCTAAAGCTCTGTTGTGTTTGTCGCACGTGTAAAAAAAGCAACACGGTAAGTATTGATTCCTCTTAGGTGACATTGCGTTTCTTTATCTCATCCCTTTTTCTGTGCAGGTTTGTCTAGTAGCCCACACTCACTTCACCATACTGTAAGCAGATTTATCTCAGTCATTCTTCAGCAGAGTCGTAAAAATACCGAGGTGGCATTGTTCTCCATGGCTGTGATTACAGTGGACCTACCTGGCAACGTGGTTAATAACAGGGGAGAAGTGGGTGGGTCCGTAGAGGCGCACAGATTTGAGACTCTGGTAGTAAGCTTCCATTACCCCATCGATACCGCTGCAGTACGGGTTCTGTGGATTACCGTTCTGCACAAAAAGAGACAGAAATGTTAATACATGTGCTCAAATGTACTGTGTTATAGTGGTAGCATTACTGTCTCACAGTGAATGTATTCTGTGAAAAGATTAAAAGACACAGGGGCGTCTTGATTTTAAAGACAGAGCCGTAAACATCCTTATTTATTATTTGTATTACTCATGGCAGCTTGGATATAACTAAGATTGTGGAAATGGGGGTTTGCAAGGTTACACCGTGCTCAATTAAATACCAGTACTGTAATTAGGGATGCTCCGATCGCCAATTTTGGGGCCGATCGCCAGAATCGGTATCGGCCGATACCGATCGCCGATCCGATCGAGCGGGCGGTCCCTAACTGTAATAAAATACATTCATTGAAGTTTAATACAACAGACACTAACTACCAATGGGATTAATCTTGTATTCATAATTAAACAACGTTATTGTTATTATGCAACCTTGTTGGAAATGTTTGGGCAACCAGCCAGTTTTTTTTTTAATAAAGTGAAAGTTCGGCAAGCTGTTCCAACTGAGCTGGCATGAATTTGTCATGGTTTTGGATTTGTTGTTTTCATTTTCCACCTTTTATTTTGAAATGTTTTCCTCCTTGGCCCTTTCTCATTTCTCTAACTCCCCTCCTCGACTCCTATCCTCGACTCCTATCCTCGAGACTTAGTCCCGCCCACAGGAGATGCGAGCGGAGGAGCCGAGGAGGGGAACCGAGGAGAGAGGAGGGGAAGCAGCAGGCGGTTAGAGAAATGAGAACTCCTCTCCTCTGAGCGGTCATTTTAAAGAGACGTCCATTAATGATGACAGGAGGCACAGCAGCCCTCTGTCTGATGGACAGATGTGTTCATGACCACTTATATATTTACTTTTGACAGTGCGGTATAATGAGACAATAACATGCTACAGATGCGGACATATACACACACATATATGTATGTATATATTATTTATATAAATATATACAATTTCAGAATCAAACAGAGCACTCTCATATTCGCGCCGGGCCGATTCAAGCCCCTTAGCTGTGATATAATGAGCATATACCACGGCCTGTCGTGAGCTATTGCTTAAATATACCATATGTTTAGTACGACACAATAACAATAAAACAAACGAAAAATGTGCAAAAGCTCAGCAGCAAAGGTTCCGACAAAGTTCAGCATGAGAGATCTGGAGTGATGTGTATGGAGGTGTTGAATGACATCTGTGTGCTTTTTATACTAAAAATAATCAGTGCCATAAAGTGATGTGATTAAATGTCCTCCAATGATGGCAGCACATCAGGGTTGTCAGACTGAGGAGAGTTCAGTGGTGTCAAAACCTTTGGATAGAAGCAGTCTATCTGTGCTTCTGGGGACTGATGTGAAGCCCCTGCTTGATGGGAAGTGCTTAGATGTGTTGTATCCAGGTTGTATAATGTCATATTTATATTTTAAAAATATCCTTTTTTACGAGTAAACGTTTACCTGGAAGATTTTAGTATCCTCTAATGTGATTTTAAATGTATGATTGCAATCTTGTTGTGACTTTAATAAGGTTTATATTTAAATATGGGGCTGTTAGCTTGTAAAAAAATGGTTAACTCCAAAAATGATTGTTTGTTTATCAATGTCAGTGAAAACTCTAAACATATATAATATTTGCATCAAATGTCTTTCCGACAGCTGCTGCAAAACAGTCATTCCCAAATCAAGGGATCAATCCCTTTTTAATCTTTATTTCCTTTCACTTTATGCCTTTTTATTTTAAGCTTAAAACAAGTCACAGTAAGTTATTGTGAACGAAAGCAAAAATAAAATACAATGGTCTAATTCTGTTTTCTTTGAGTTTGATTACACTTTAATGTCAATTTTAGAAGTCTAGAAAGACAACACATTCATTTGTCTCCTTCAGGGTGATGCTGTTTTTCCTCGAGTGCATCGTCTACCCCTTCCCTGCTTATTCTCTAATAGCCACCAGCTAACAGTTAGTTTACATTCATTGAGTCACCCTCATTGATTTAATGTCACCCAGCTAAAACGTTGAAAAATGAGTTGAATATATTCAAGGGCAATTACAATAACTTGCTTACATTGGGTCTCTGTGCTACAAGGGCGCTTCTGTATGCACATTTAACACCATGCATCAAGTGAAATTGAATACAGTTTGTTTCGATGTTAGGGGACATAATAGGCACAGTGCCACCCTGAAGGATAACGAAAAAGTATTTGTAGATTATATTTCCCTTTTATTGAAAAAGGCTGGGATCATTTTCTTTTCAACACTGGCATGTTGTGGCAGCGAATTGAAGGATAACAAGATTACATGCAGACATCAAAAACAGCCACCCGAGGGCTAAAACATCAATACATATTATTAAAACATATCACCAAATATAAGAGGCACTCGGGGGTTGCAAGCCCTAAAGGACATCAAATCCAATTTGAATGTTGACGGCTTAATTCTCCTGTTGAAGCATTTTAGACCAGAATATCCCGAGGCGAGACATTTCACATTTAAATCATTGCATGAGGGGTGGGAACTAAGAAAAGTATTTTGGTAAAACCCATTGTGGTGAGATACAACAAAAGTTACATTAAATGAGAACATAATGATAACTTGTCTTAGAATAAGTTAGTCTAACTCTAACAGAAGCTCAGCCGTTGGTTTCTAAAGTTCTTGTTGAGACAAAGTGTTTTTGTATCCATGCAGCATATTACAATTGATGTGTGGTTGACTGGGTTTTAAAATATCCAAAAGAGGCAAACAATACATTATTTAAGCTACCCATATGTTTTGTGCTATTTTTCTAATTATCTTTGTATGAAACCATCTTGACTGACTCTGCTTGGTTGCCCTTGAGAACACACAGCCCACATGAGACTCCTTTGTTTGTAAATGGAGCTTGCATAATGACGAGGGATTCAGTGGTGGTTTGCTCCCACAGCTGCAGCCTTCCTCTGACAAAGTTGAATCTTTAATGGTAAGATCGATGCATATGAGCCTTGTCTCGAGGTTTGGCGCCTCAGGGGAGACTGCTACCCAACGCTGAGCCCAACAGTAAGCAAAGTTAAAACGCCTCTGGAGCAACATCTGGAAGTGACTGTAGACCAGGGAGGGGATTAATGGTGGAAGAGGAGTGGTCTACAGCAGTGGTTCCCAAACGTTTTGTGCCCAAGGGCAAGGCACACCAAAGGACAAGTACAAATCTCAAGGCACACCTATTGTGCAAAATAGCCCTTATAACACGTGTTATCACTCATATCATGTAAAATATCTGTAAATGTGCATAATTATTTACTAATGCCAAATAGAATGTGACAAAGACAACTATATTACTCATGAAATATTTATTAACGAAATATTTCAGAAATTAATTTGAAACGTTATCAAATTAGGCTTCATCAAAGCAGCAACACACTCATTTAAACCAGACAGGTCACAACATTAAAAATGAGGCAAAGGAAACTCAACAGAAATTCAGCACAGAGAACTGTCAATGCGAGGAAGCTGCATTGTCCATGGTCCTGAACTACAAATTATAAATGTAACATTTCAGCAATCAGCATTGAAACATGTGCTATTGTAAATATGTTGCCATATTACACTACTTCGTTACTATCTACATAAAGTAACTCGTTACTTTACTCGCCGAGCACGTACGAACTGCGCATGCGTGAGTGGTAGTGCTGTAGCGACGCGTCGACGCGTCGTCGACGTCGTCTTCAAAATATCGTCGACGACATATTTCCACGTCGACGCGTCGCTATACACACGTGGGTCACCCAAAGCAACAAGCAGTTCACAATCGCACTTCAAACACAATGGAGACTGAAACGGCTACCACCTCCTCCTCACAGGATTGCGCACGAAGCCCCCAAACGAAAACATCTCGCCCCAGGTCTTCAAAAGCATGGGAATATTTTAAAGTTAGTCCAAAACGCAAAGATATTTATATCTCACTGAGACTGCTGCATAGCCTAGCAGAAGCAGCAGCTAGCTGTGGTGGCTACCATTAGCAGCTAGCATTTGCTCTCCGATTTTTACATAAAATGGAATTATGGATTATAAATTCAATCGTTTTTTTATGCATAGACGTTAAAAACCTATGGATTAACCGATTCAGCCGCGTTTTTTCTCATTTTAATGCCATTGAACACGTCTTTTGATCAGATTGACAGCTACGGCGGTGAGACGATCTCCCTAGAAGCTCTGTGAAGGTACGTGTTGTGATGACTGTATTTGCTTCCCCTGTCGCGAGTCCGGATCACTCAGTGATGATACTATATACCTACATAATCTGTGGAGTCTCAGCTTTAATCGGATATATTGTATGTGCAGCTACGATAAGTAATAAGGGTACTTTTATCTTGAGTTCTGTGCCAATGTCCGTTAGCATTTTTCACTCAGGGGTCATTTAGATGCTTCTTATGAGACTTGTGTTTTGTTTTGGTAAACATGGTTTGTATCGTCAGTTAGCTGAGATTATTTCCGTTAATCTGGTATAACACATTAATAGGTTCTTAAATATTAAGATCCCCTGAGACACAGTATCGTGAAACAAAAATGTTTTACATTACGTTTTTTTTACATTACGTTTTTTATGAATTGAACAACAGAAAAATAATCGTTAGATTAGTCGACTAATCGATCAAATAATCGCCCGATTAATCGTTTTCAAAATAATCGTTTCCCCCCAGCACTAGTGATTGGCAATAACTCTCCTTACCAGCAGGCGGCGGTAGTGTGTATTTGTCATTCAAAACAGGCAACAACCGGAAGACAGAGAAGAAGAACAGACTACGTGATATAAACAAACAACAAATAGCTGTGCGGTAGCTTCACCTTAGCATGTGTTCGTTGCAGGTGTTTGTTGAGGTTTGACGTGGTGTTTCCAGCAGTGGATAACAGCTTCTGGCCTGGACACAGTTTGCACCTCACCGTCACATTCCTGTCTATTCTTCGGACGAACTCAAAATAATGGGCATACCTCCACGCCTCGAGAGTTATCGCTGACTCAGCCATGTTTATGCAGCACTGCACGTGGAGATGTGGACGCGCAAGTCGCGCAGATTACGTACATATAAACCTACAAAGTACTGATATAGTAAATTAAAAAGTAATTATTTTTGTGTAGTTGTATATTGCAATAATAACGTATGGTTGTCACAAAATCCCACGGCACACCCGGACTTGCCTCACGGCACACCAGTGTGCCGCGGCACACCGTTTGGGAACCACTGGTCTACAGCACCTGAGGGCCTGACATTAGAGGAGGTATAGACAATAGGAAGGATGGATGGATGGACTGATGGATGCTTGGATGTATAGACGGACGGAATGATAGATGGATGGATAGATAGATGGATGGATAGATGGACAGATGGGTAGGTATATCCATTGGATGGATGGATAGAATTATTTAATGGATGGACTGATTGTTAGATTCATCAAAGGATTGTGGTGTTATTTCCATAAAGACATTCTTTCTCACTTTGTATGAACTTGAGCTGCATTCACATTATAAGAAAGTTGCTCTTTGCTCACTGCAAGTACGGTCAAACACACAAACTAATACACACCCACACAGCTGACCTCCATGCCAAACACACAAACTAATACACACCCACACAGCTGACCTCCATGCCAAATAACAACCTCCTCGGGCAAAAACTGTTGCCGCCAGCTAGATATGGACTTGGTGGGTCTACTGCAAAAAACTAACCAGCTTATTTGGCTTCCATCACTACAGTGAGCTTAATTTGTTCATGTTTTTGGACTGCAGCGTTCACCGCCCACCATTAAACTGTTGCCTGTAATTGGTCATCTGGGTATGAGAGTGCTTGGTTTCATACCATTTATTTTTCTAGTTCTAGTTAAACTTTATGTACATGTTGCCTTGAGAAACACACAAGCTGCCTGTGACGGACACATTTCCTCCGGCTGCCATGAAGGCGATTACAGGAATTGTTCTCAGTCATATTCAACAGCAGTCCGATAACATGCCAACTTTTGTACGGCCAGTCCTAATCTTAACATTGTTCATAATGAGCATCACTTTCCCATGAGGCCTGGTTTGTTCCAAGGTTATGTTTTCTGCTTGGTTTGTTTGTCCATTTTTCAGCAGGATTTTAGAAAAACTACTGCTGGATTGGTGGAATGGGGGGTTACCTTGGTTGCTGATTGGCTAATGGTTACACAAGCCAAAACATCGTTATGACATAAAGTGGCCGAAATCTGATCATTTTCAGACAGGTTTTTATATAAATGGATCAGGACAAAAAGAGAGCGAATCTTTTTTCCTGAAACTTTCAGAATCTCTTTCCACAGAGGGGACACATGTTGATGTAGAAGAGACATGAAGAAGAGGGGACACATGTTGATGTAGAAGAGACATGACGAAGAGGGGACACATGTTGATGTAGAAGAGACATGAAGAAGAGGGGACACATGTTGATGTAGAAGAGACATGAAGAAGAGGGGACACATGTTGATGTAGAAGAGACATGACGAAGAGGGGACACATGTTGATGTAGAAGAGACATGAAGAAGAGGGGGACACATGTTGATGTAGAAGAGACATGAAGAAGAGGGGACACATGCTGATGTAGAAGAGACATGAAGAAGAGGGGACACATGCTGATGTAGAAGAGACATGAAGAAGAGGGGACACATGCTGATGTAGAAGAGACATGAAGAAGAGGGGGACACATGCTTGATGTAGAAGAGACATGAAGAAGAGGGGACACATGTTGATGTAGAAGAGACATGAAGAAGAGGGGACACATGCTGATGTAGAAGAGACATGAAGAAGAGGGGACACATGTTGATGTAGAAGAGGACATGAAGAAGAGGGACACATGTTGATGTAGAAGAGACATGAAGAAGAGGGGACACATGTTGATGTAGAAGAGACATGAAGAAGAGGGGACACATGTTGATGTAGAGAGGACATGAAGAAGAGGGGACACATGTTGATGTAGAAGAGACATGAAGAAGAGGGGACACATGTTGATGTAGAGGAGACATGAAGAAGAGGGGACACATGTTGATGTAGAAGAGACATGAAGAAGAGGGGACACATGCTGATGTAGAAGAGACATGAAGAAGAGGGGACACATGTTGATGTAGAAGAGACATGAAGAAGAGGGGACACATGTTGATGTAGAAGAGACATGAAGAAGAGGGGACACATGGTGATGTAGAAGAGACATGAAACAAATTGATTTGGCATAAGAGAAAGTTGTTTTTCCTCACCAGGGCAAACTCGTGGGAGACCCGTCCGTCTGGAGGAAGCTTTGCTCCGAAGCCCAGCGCAGGAAACATCTTGTCGCTGTCGTAGTCCTGGATGATCTCTCCGACGGCCCGCAGCGCCATGGCGTAGTCGTTGAGCTGGTACGGGCTCATGTAGTGCAGCGAGGTGGGCTGGGATGGGTTACCTGGGGACCCACAGAGGTTCAGCGCCATTAAAGTTACATCAGCATGAAACTGTAATCATGACTGCGTCCCCTGGGCTGTGAGTCATCATTAAAATATAATAAAAAGCAAAGTGGTGTGTGGGAGGGGGTTAAAACGCAGACTGGACTTTTAGTTACACAAACATTTCTCTAAGGCACGGCTGCAGAAATAATCTCGCTGGTTGCCTCAAACCACAGCGGGCAGTGTGAGGAACCATCATCCTTTTCAGTATAGCTAAGTTTAAACTGTTAAAAATACTAAACTATTAAGACCATGAGCTACAGCGGACCCTCCAAGACACTCGCTCTCTGTGTCAAATAAATAAAATCAGGCGATATGTAATTCCTCAGAAATATTGCATAAGTGTGATAACTGTAGAGGAAACTTCTGTGTAGCATGCAGTGGAGTCACCGACTCAGGAAGGAGACACGGAAGAGTCGGAGCTTTGATGTCAAACCACTGTGATTTATTTGGAGTTGGTACCAGAGTATTCACATCACAAATCCAAGAGTCAGAGGTTCTGACTCCACGGTAGAGTTGCCACGTCAATTCTGGAGAGCCTCTCTCTTGCCAGCCCATCTAACTGGTTTCGCAGAGAGTAAACAACATATTTGAGGAGATAGCCTAAACAGTGTGGGAACACAGAGCTACTTGCTTCGGACACTTATGACCTCGAAGATTTCACCTTGGAGTCCACAAATACAGAGAAGGAAGTGTCCCAGTGTACCCACAACACAGACCATCTGTGACCCAGTATTGACCGGTCACAGAATGGGAACAATAACATTATTGGCTAAGCCGCCTGTGTCCTTAAAGAAGGTAAACAGACATCAAGGTTTGTCCTGTATGTTACAAATTGGCGTCTTATGATAATTATTTCCATAACAATAACAATACTCTTTCCTATCCAAAAATGCAAGAAGCAGCTCTTGACAATCGCAAATAAAAACAGAATGATAAAAAGTTGTTTGTAATGTCTGCCTTTACTTGTGTCTTTATTTTTGGCCGCGGTACATGAAAGCAAAACGTATAATTGTTACCATTAAAATGACAAGACACTTTTTCTTACTACACAATTTAACAACATTTGATAACTTATTTGCTCCTTCAATACTTTCAACATTTATTTACTTATTTATAAAGTATATATTTATTTCTTTAGGATACTGCTACTTATTACCATGGTGTACAAATTTGTTTCCCGCAATTGTGTTCATATATTTCTTGCACTTTGCTGCCTTAATGCCGTACATTTCCTGCTGCAGGACAGATAAAGGAATTCTGATTGTTTTATATTTTGACCACCCTAACCCGTATTTAGCCTTCAGCTCCAAACCCTATTAGTTCTTTCTGAAGATGTGATTTTTCACAAATGCCCATACATAAAAGAAAATCTCATAAAAAAGTCATTCTTTAAAATAGCTTGGCACTAGCTAATAGCTCACATTTGTCAAACAGGAAAACATTTGTTGGAGAACATTTGAGATACATATTAAAACACACTTGGTGCTCTGGTGAGTAATTACTGCAGCTCCCAGGTTCATCATGATGAAGAAACACGTCAGCTACTGTGTGGCTAATACATTTATTTTTAACAATTAATTGGACAAAAAATAGGGCACTAAAGTAAAATATATGTACTTTAGTGCATACGATACATTTTTTGTTGGTTATGGTCTTTTTGTTTGTATAATAATCTAACTTAGAAGAAAACCTTGTCCCTGATAATGCATTATGTTGTGCTATAAAATAAACGAGTCAGTTATTATGTTCTGTCACGGATCAGAATCAGAATACCTTTATTAGTCCCACAGAGGGGACATTTGCAGCGTTACAGCAGGAAAGAACAGCTTAGTGTTGCATGTCTTACATGCGTTAAAAAAGTACTAAGTTATAATATAATGAACAATATGCTACATAAGTTACATCATTTTCAAAAATACAGATCAAATCTACAAATCAAATCCTGTAGCAGTTCTTAGGATTTAGCAGCCGATATGTAATATACAGCCAACTGTAATATATACTGATATATTACAGTTATTAAAGATGGCATATGTATATAAAGTATATATTGCACATAAAGCACATATTGCACATAGTTTGACGGTATTTAACGCAAGCTACACAATTGACAAAATACAAGATACATACCTTGTAACAGTAACAAGGGTTTAGCAGCCAGGTATAAATGACACAGTTATTAACGGCATATATATATTGATTTAGTGGCCAGGTATAAATGACACAGTTATTAATGGCATATATATATATTGATTTAGTGGCCAGGTATAAATGACACAGTTATTAACGGCATATATATATTGATTTAGTGGCCAGGTATAAATGACACAGTTATTAATGGCATATATATATTGATTTAGTGGCCAGGTATAAATGACACAGTTATTAATGGCATATATATATTGATTTAGCAGCCAGGTATAAATGACACAGTTATTAACGGCATATATATATTGATTTAGTGGCCAGGTATAAATGACAGTTATTAATGGCATATATATATTGATTTAGTGGCCAGGTATAAATGACACAGTTATTAATGGCATATATATATTGATTTAGTGGCCAGGTATAAATGACACAGTTATTAACGGCATATATATATTGATTTAGTGGCCAGGTATAAATGACACAGTTATTAATGGCATATATATATTGATTTAGTGGCCAGGTATAAATGACAGTTATTAATGGCATATATATATTGATTTAGTGGCCAGGTATAAATGACACAGTTATTAATGGCATATATATATTGATTTAGTGGCCAGGTATAAATGACACAGTTATTAATGACATATATATATTGATTTAGTGGCCAGGTATAAATGACACAGTTATTAACGGCATTATATATATTGATTTAGTGGCCAGGTATAAATGACACAGTTATTAATAGGCATATATATATTGATTTAGTGGCCAGGTATAAATGACACAGTTATTAATGGCATATATATATTGATTTAGTGGCCAGGTATAAATGACACAGTTATTAATGGCATATATATATTGATTTAGTGGCCAGGTATAAATGACACAGTTATTAATGGCATATATATATTGATTTAGTGGCCAGGTATAAATGACACAGTTATTAACGGCATATATATATTGATTTAGTGGCCAGGTATAAATGACAGTTATTAATGGCATATATATATTGATTTAGTGGCCAGGTATAAATGACAGTTATTAATGGCATATATATTGCACATATAGCACAAAGTTGGTTTGTAGTTAGCAGCAAGGGGTGCTATAGTCGGTGTTGTGGTGTGTGTAGGAGGGTCTACTAGGGGCAGGGGGATATGGAAATATGAAGGAAAAACTTCAGTGTTCCCAATTACCAAAGATATGAAGTAATGTAATTATATCACTATTATAACTGAAGTGAAAATGGGGAAAACTGAATAGATAGCAATAGAGAAAGACTATTTTCTTCGAGGACATAATCTCCAAATTGCATTACATGTATTATCTTTTTAAATCATCTCTCACTGAAATGAGAACATCACTCATCTGAGACAAACTGCGCAGAATTGCTCATTTTGCTTGTTTGTCGTTAAGTTGTTGTCACTGATAAATGTACAGCAGTTTACCCGTGGGGCTTAATAAACACCGACTACGCAGGGAAAAAATAATGTAATTTGAAAAATGTGGGTGTAATGAGTTTCTGTCTACGGAGGCACAAACTGTACAAGATGAAAACTTCAAACTGAGTTTATAAGTGTTAGATAATGTCGGAATAATTGTCCAATTTTCAGCTGCTTTATTTCTAGTCTGAGTAAAAGGGGGCGAAGTGTCATAAGTGTAAGTCAATTAAAACTGACTGAATCATTAAAGAGTTCACATCAAATAAAGATCACGGTGTTAACCACCAAAAGTTTGATCAAGTTCGATACACTTTCATCGATAAGAGCTTTAAAACACTTACCATTCGATGCCGTGAAATCAATCGCCACCGTGAAATTAATCTGAGTCCTACAAGAGAGAACGGATCACGTTAAGGGGTAAAGTGGAACCGTCAATCACGCTGAATTATGTCACAGCATGTTTCAAAGCACGCTGCAGCGAGCAATTAGGCAGCGGGTTATCGGCAGCTGTCAGTCTTAATGTTGGAGCAAAGAGATAAACATGGTGCTCTAATCCTCTCTGATGAGTCACTGCAGAGTCTACCACCGCAAGGATTTAATGAGGGAAGTAGTGCTGGTGATTTATCTGAAGAATCATATTCCGCCCTCTGTTGTGAACTCACCCGCCGCGGATGTAGTCCAGGAAGGAGAGCTCGGTGTCCACGAGGCAGGAGAGGAGAGTGACCTGTCAGTCAGGAGAAAGAGTGGTTTACAGCATGAACAGGGTGTGTTAAAGGTCTCCTATTATGTTATTTTTAGGAATATATAATGGGTCTCAGATATATCAAATAAATAAAAAACATGTCTATGATGTCAGATCATGCATTTTAGGCATCCCTCATATCCCTCTGTGTCAGCCCTGTTAGAGAAACGCTGATTCGGGGTCCTAAGCTTGAAAAAAAATGCTTGCTAATGTAAACAAAGACCATATTACGTCCAAAACAGTCGGGTATTTTTCTGATAGCAACGTTTCTGATTGGGCCGAGGGTCCGCATTTCCGATAAGACGTCATATCGGACGCAAATCTGGATCAGCTCCGTTGTAGCCCCGTTTTTAGAGATGTGGGTACGGAGGAAAAGAGAGAGGGTTTTATTTTCTGACGCTGTGTGAGTTCCCCGACACACCGGGGACACATGTTGATGTAGTGCATTTTGCATGATAGGTCCCCTTTAAAGGAATGCTTCACCCACAAAATGACCATTTGTATAAAATGTACTGACCCTGTTTCACCTTAACATTTGAAAACCTTTTCTGGCAGTAAACAAAGAGACATTTATTTATTTAGTGGCTCTACTGTGCCATGTTCACAAGCTTTAATGTTCCAAAAAGTATTTATTCTTCTCATACTGCCTGTCTTCTCTCCCTCGGTCTGAAACCAGAGCCCAGCCTGCTCTGATTGGACTTGAAGTTAAACCAAGATGAGTTTTTGATATATAATAATTTGGTGGCTGATGTATTCCTTAATATAGCACCTGATTCTCAAACCAATGAGTATTTCTACAAATTCTGACATTTTCTGGTGGTAATAAATGCATGAATGAATAATTTATGAAACATTTATGAATTGACTCACCGTTCCTGAGTTTTGGTACTTTTTCTTCTTTTTTTCTTTTTTCTTTGGATTTAGCACCTGTGGGGAAAACATCAGCTTGAATCCACTTTGTTTTGTTTCAGGGAGCAGAAAGTGATCTCTACTCATGTCTTCATTCAGAATATCATAAACTCAAATTCAAGTCTTTGTTCACATTCTCCTTTTGATTTTCTACAAGTGAATGTCTCAGCACACGGTAGCAGTTAGCCTGTGGGCACCTCTGCAGTGTCTCCTTAGGTTTATGCAACAAAACCACTTGGGTAAAGAGCCCTGTAGGGTAAGTTATGGCATCTTTAAATACGATAACTTCTTCACCCTCTTATCTTCTTCCCACCACATCTGAGTTATATAACAGTTTTAAGGGCGACTGTGGCTGCGAGGGAGTGCGGTCGTCTTTCAACCAGAAGGTTGTGGGTTCGATCCCAGCCCGTGCAGTCAACATGTCGATGTATCCTTGGGCAAGATACTTAACCCTGAGTTGCTCCCGATGGCCAACGGTGTGTGAATGTGTGTGAATGTTAGGTCCTAGAGTAAGATACACTGCTCTGTATGAATGGGTGAATGACATGCAGTATGTAAAGTGCTTTGAGGGGTCTTAAAGACTGGATAAAGCGCTATATAAGTACAGTCCATTTTAGCAAACATTACCCCGATACTGAGATCTCTTCACTGGCTCCCTGTAGCTTATAGGATACAGTTCAAAATCCTCACTCTCACCTACAGAGCATTGCACGGTCAGACTCCTGCTTATGTGGCTGACCTAATTCATCCATATACATCAGCCCGCCCACTCAGGTCACACATGCACAATTTACTGTCTGTCCCAAGTACCCACCTTAAGACCCGCGGTGATCAAGCATTCGAAGCCATGGCTCCTAAGCTATGGACCGCTCTGCCTGATCATCTATGGTCTGCTGACTCTGTTGACTCCTTTAAAGCTAATTTGAAGACATTCCTGTTTGGGCAGGCGTCTGGGTAACCAGTGTGCTTGATTTTATACTACGTTTTCATTGTGTTTTTTATTGTGCTTTTATTATGTTTTAGTGCAGGGGTGGGAAACCCTTTTCCTCTCAAGGGCCATTTCAATTTTTACAATATCCTCAGAGGGCCGTACAAATTATTGACCTCTGCTTAAAAGAACTAAAATCACAGCCCATTCATTTCATGCTGTGCAAAGAAAAAGCAACCTCTTAACCCAGATATCTCACCATGACTCGCGTATGCATGCACGGCACGTGCACGGTGTGGCGTGACCACCACAACAGAAAGATATGGACACAAGATGTGTGCAAATGTATTTAGTTTCCTATCCATGTGAACATGATTTAAGTGGGGGGGGGCCTAACCTCCTCTAGGGGGGTCCGAGGGGCATGCTCCCCCGGGAAGATTTTTTTTGAAATATTGAAGTTAAAAGCATCAATCTGGTGCACTTTGAGAGCAACATGAAGAGATCTATGGATACATCTCTCAACATCCAGATGAAACAGAACTGGAAGCAGATTTATTTTTCTTTATGAATATTTTACAAATCACTCTCCTTTCAAACTGTATTCTTCTTTATTAATAACAACTTTTTTTTACTGTCATATAGTATTTTGTACCTGTTTACTTTATTCTCTTATTTTTTTATAATGATCATATAAAGATGTGCCTTTACCTCACTGGTTGTAGAAAAAGCTTCTTATATTCGTTAGCATAGCTAGCTAACCAGATGCTAATAACAACAAAGTTATTGACTGTATGATCAGTATGACAGATGAACAGATCGCCACTGGGCTTTCAGCTAAAGACACAGCCACGCAAAAACTGCAGCATGAGTACGGCTCCTTATGGGTACTGCAATTTCTGAAGTGCTGGAGCGGCGTTCTGGTGCTCTCCATCAGAACTGCCCCTGTCAGTCGAGACATATACCACGTGATGACACGTTAAACTCGTGTTGTGTTCAAGGACCCTGACCTTGGCCAGGAAAAACAGGCACTCGCTTGTTTAATTTTTTTGCGGTCTAGATTTCTTAAATTTTTTTCTTTTTTGCGTGTGTTTATAAATTACCTCGAGGGCCGTAGCCGATTGTCTCGCAGGCCGTATACGGCCCGGAGGCCGGAGGTTCCCCACCCCTGTTTTAGTGCTTTTATGACTTCTTAACACGTGGCTTATGTGTTCATTTATCATTGTACGATTCCTATGATGATGTTTAATTGTTTTGTCAAGCACTTTGTCTGTGAAAAGCGCTTTATAAATAAACTTTACTTACTTACTTTTGCATAGCCAAAGACTATGTTCTCTCATATCAATCTGCAGAAATAAGTCCGTTAATTTAACGTTAGCTTCGGACAACAAACATTCATTTTCTCCATCAGCTAGGCAATGTTTTGCTCCACAGAGAATGCTTCCACCTCACCAAGACTCTCCGGCTAACGGACCGATTTGACTGTTTGTGAGGAACATTTTGTAGGTTTAAAGTATTGTATTGATCCCTGTTTCGTAAAAGGGCCGCCTGAGGATTAAGACTTGATCAAAGGTGACATTTTGATATTCAACCACCTGACGATAACCCTTTATGAAACATCCAAAATGTACTGCACACAGAACTCTTCTGGCAAGAACATTTAATCATGTTGAATTGGAAGGAAGCCCCTCTCTCCGCGATATTTAAATAATAGAGCAGGAACACTTTGAAGTTCTTGAAAGTGGAGAAGATTAGATGTGCTAATCATGGATTTAATGAATGACAGATTATGTAAGTATGGCAGACTTTAGCACATACTAGCCAGCTGTATATATCACATATTAAATCAACATGTTATTCTGTAACTGCAACTTGTTTTAGTGTCTGTTTTATAATCCATTGGTTATTATCGTCTTTTTTTATTTTGTGATTTAAATGTTCTTATTAGTTTTTATTTCTTCCTGTTGTATGTTGACTCTCATATTACCCATACTGTGTTTTTAAAACCACATATTATAAGGTCAAATATTTTTAAAGTGATATTGTAGGGTTAATATTTGTATTTGGCTCAGGTTAGACAAAAGGACTAAAGGAAAGGATAAGAGGATAATGAATATGTGTGTGTGTGTGTGTGTGTGTGTGTGTGTGTGTGTGTGTGTGTGTGTGTGTGTGTGTGTGTGTGTGTGTGTGTGTGTGTGTGTGTGTGTGTGTGTGAGAAATATCACCTCATAGACGTGAAACTGCGACTGGCTCCTTGACATTTCTCTGTAGCGCGTGCTGAAGTCCCCGATAAAGTCGTGCCTGTAAAAAAAAATAAAAACATGGTCACATTTCTTCCCGGTAAAAAGGACGTATATTCTTTGTATTCACATTGTCAAAAATCCGGAGTATCACTAACAAGCTCCTTGGTTACTAGAGGCGTGGGCGTAGCAACGGGCTCCATGATTTTATGCGGATAATCAGCTCCATTGGAATAAGGGTCAGAAATGTGTTGGAGTTCAAAGCTGAAGTGACAAAAACTGCCAGTGAAATGAACAATGAAAGGGCGACCTGTGACCCTGAACACTGGGAATTCACTCGCTTCAAAACATAAATACCGTCTTCATTCCCCGACTGACGCTATGAAGTTATCTGTCAAAAGACCGTTTAAGCGGTATAAATAGTTAATGTATATTTGAAGCAGAAGGGAGTGTTGTCACATGAAGAGCTCTACAGGGATGTTTCTCCACACTATCCACTCTAACAGAGAAAAACAAGAGGGCGTATTAGGACAAACATTTTGAAGGGAAATCTGTGAACATAATCCCAAATGTCCATCCCTACTTTGCACATATGCTCGTGTACTATCAGGGCAGATTTTAATTTTTTAGGAGCATGAACAAACTGGAAAAAGGTTTTTATCTTAGAATGGCATTCAGGAACATTTAAAGCGGCCCTATAATGCTGATTTTCAGGTTCATTTTTGTGTTTAGTGTCTCTACTGTGACATGTCTCCATGCTTTAATGTTCAAAAAGCTCTTTATTGTTCTCATACTGCCTGTGCTGCAGCACCTCTTTTCACCCTCTGTCTGAAACCAGAGTCCCTGTTCAATCAATCAATCAATGTTTATTTATATAGCCCAATATCACAAATGTTACATTTGCCTCAGTGGACTTCACAGTTAGTACAGAATATCAGTATATTGTCCGGCAGTGGCTCAGTCAGTAGGGGCTTGGATTGTGAGCCGTAGGGTCGCCGGTTCAAGTCCCCGACCAGACCTAAAAAATATGGAGTGTGGACTGCTACTTGGAGATGTCCCAGTTCACCTCCTGCCCTGCCGTGGTGCCCTTGAGCAAGGCACCGGACACCCCCCTTCCCCCCTCACTCCCATTGCTCCCCGGGCGCTGTGCAATAGCTGCCCACTGCTCCTAGTACTCCTGGTACTAGGATGGGTTAAAAGCAGAGGACACATGTCACTGTGTGTGCTGTGTGCTCTGCATGTGTGACCATTAAAGAGGGTTTCATCCCTCCCAATTCTATTATATGACAATACGACACCCTCTGTCCTTAGACCCTCACATCGTACAAGGAAAAACTTCCAGAGAAAACCCACAGTTTAAAGGGGAACATGGGAGAAACCTCAGGGAGAGCAACAGAGGAGGGATCCCTCTCCCAGGACGGACAGACGTGCAATAGATGCCGTGTGTAAATCGAAAAGATAATACATTTTACAGCATAGGTAAAATGCTTGTGATTGGGAACCGCTTACAGATGTCCCGCCCCTTAGCCTATCATGCACAATGTGTTGGAGCGCTAGCCAATAGAAGCGTAGGTGTTACATAGGGTGATGTTACTATGTTCAGGAAGTAAACAAAGGAGTCCAATGAAGGCGTTTCAGGCAGGAGGGGAGCAGTTGTAGACTCATGGAGATATCAGCCATAAAGTAAAGATGTCTGCTTTCTTGTTGTTTTAAAGAAATCATGACCCCTTTACCTAAATCTGCTGCTGTCACTCCCATCCTCAAGAAACCCGGTCTGGATCCCTCCTCCCTCAGTAACTACCGTCCCATCTCCAACCTCCCCTTTCTCTCAAAAACAATAGAACGCATTATCTCCAAACAACTCCACCGCCATCTCCAAACCAACCAGCTTTTTGAACCCCTTCAGTCTGGTTTTCGTCCCCACCACAGCACAGAAACGGCCCTCATCAAAGTCCTCAATGACCTCCTCACCTCTGCTGACACCGGTTCCCTCAACATCCTCATCCTCCTCGACCTGAGTGCAGCCTTCGATACCGTGAGCCACACCATCCTGCTCACCCGACTCCAGGACATCGTATCGATGGTACTGCACTCAGGTGGCTCCAGTCCTACCTCTCCGACAGATCCCACTTCATCTCCCTCAACAACCACTCCTCTTCCACAGCTTCAGTCACCCAAGGTGTTCCCCAAGGTTCAGTACTCGGCCCCCTCCTCTTCATCATCTACATCCTCCCCCTTGGTCAGATTCTCCGCAAATACAACCTGGACTTTCACTGCTATGCCGACGACACCCAGATTTACCTCAGCACCAAATCCCCCAACAACCCCCCCCCTCACCCACATCGAATCCTGTCTGACTGCACTAAAATCCTGGATGCAACACAACTTCCTCAAACTCAACAGCAATAAAACTGAACTCCTCCTCATCGGATCAAAATCCACCCTCAGCAAAACCCCCAACCTGACAATCACCATTGATGGCACCCCTGTTTCCCCCTCCACCCAGGCACGCAACCTTGGCGTGATATTTGACCCCACCTTCTCCCTCGAGCCCCACATCCGTCATGTTGTCAAAATCTCATTTTTCCACCTCCGCAATATTGCCAAACTCCGTCCCTCTCTCACCCGCCCTGCAGCTGAGCGACTCATTCACGCCTTCATCTCCTCCCGCCTTGACTATTGCAACTCCCTCCTCTACGGCATCAGCTCCACCTCCCTCAGTAGACTCCAGCGTGTCCAGAACGCAGCCGCCAGACTCCTCACCCACACCAAATCATGGCATCATATCACCCCTGTCCTCAAAGAACTCCACTGGCTCCCCGTTACACACCGCATCAATTACAAACTCCTGGTCCTCACTTATAAAGCCCTCCACCATCTGGCCCCCCCCTACCTCACTGACCTCCTCACCCTCTACCAACCACCCCGGTCCCTCAGATCCACCTCAGCCGGTTTGCTTTCAATCCCCAAGGCCAAACTCCGGAGCTTCGGGGACAGAGCCTTCTCTGTGGCAGCCCCGAAGCTCTGGAACTCCCTCCCCCAAGACCTCCGTGAGTCTGAGTCCCTCACCCTGTTCCAGTCCCGCCTCAAAACCCACCTTTTCAACTCTTTATCTATAAAGCCCCCCCCCCTCTTAATCAACTTCCTCCTGACTGCTTTTCTGTTGTGTTTTTTTCTTTTTTTCTTTTTTTTTGTATACCCCCCCTCCCAAATGTAAAGCGTCTTTGGGTCCAGAAAAGCACTATATAAAATTAATATATTATTATTATTATTAAATCTACTGTCATGAGTGTGATCAGATTGGTGTAGGAACTATGTCTTTCAACCAAACTACATCCATCAACCGAATCACAGCATAGACAAAAAGTGCACTTATTTGCTTGAAGCTTTCCCGTTCAACTTTCCTGTTAACATCTCATGCTGTCACGAGCCTCTTATCCATGATCTGCACATTGATACTGTTGACGTGTGTAATCGCTAGAAAGAAAATAGTTACTACATGAATCTGCTCGCGAAGGGGTCTATGGATTATCTTTACTAAATGTGAGATAATTTCTAGAATTTCTTGTTTCATATTTCATATTTTATAATTCATTCATAGCATTCTATTTCCATTTAAATTACTGCTTTATTTTATTGCTATTTAACTATATTTAATTACGGTGTCTTTAAAGATTTTTTGTTTTATATATGACATCAAGTCAAATTCCTCGTACCTGGCAATAAATGATTCTGATTCTGAGAAAGAGACATTGCTTTGAGTTATTCAAAAGCATGTTATGTCTAGCTTTGACCATCACAACTAGAGTGTCATCGAGTTTCATCAGTGGCGAACCGTCAGGGCCTTCAAGGTATTCAGAGAATACCCTGGAACACTCAGATAAAAAATAAAAATCGATTTAATTATATAAATAAAATGTAATAAAATGTAATAAATGTATATAAAATGAATAAATGAGAATCGTATCTGTTGATCTGTAATATTACAGTGTTACGTTGATTTGTTTGTCCTTCTCGGACCATGCACTACGCATTTCAGTGGTTTTCTGTTAGAAAAGAAAGCAACCAATCAGATCTTGTTCTGGGTCTCTGGGTAGAATATCCTTCAACCAGGTATTCTACATCCTTGATCGAATGCCCTGGCCGTTGCACTGAATGAGAGCGTACGTTTGGACTGACAGTTTGATCAACCAATCATATATTGATTGGTAGCCAATGGGCGTATTCTTTCAGAGTTCCCCTCGGTTCCAGGGTATTCTAGAAGGCCCGCTAGTTCACTGGCTCGAGACAGAGGATCTAGATGAGTGCGACGAAGCAATTCATGCCGTTTTATTGTTTTTAATGTTGAAATGACAAGTGCAACAGGTGAAGATGAAGTTGTTGCGGAATTGTTGTGAGTACGCTTTTCAAGACGACAATTCAGGGAAAAGACGGACATTATAATGCCGCGGAGGGGGGGGAGGGGCGGCGGCAGGGGGTGTGTGTGTGTCTACAGAAGATCCAGTTGTGATCGACACGGTTCGCCACTGAGTTTGATTATATTAAAGATAAGGCAGACCTCTTTGAAGCCAATATCTACAACACTCGTGAACTCACACCAAAGAAAACTACATTGATAAAAAGGATTTTTAATTTGGGGTCCCTCTTAGTTTAAGAGTACAAACGAAAGAGCATTGTTCCCTCACCCTCCATCTCTGTCCCAGTCGTACACCTCCACCTTAATGCTCCTGTAGGGAAAGACAAGAGGAGAGAAATAAATCCCATTAAAAATCCAATTAGCACTGATTTACAGTCTTTCTGCTTAAAAAGCTGGAAACTCCGTGGAAGGCCGGGGGTGGACAAACCTACGTAATGCAGAGAGGGGAGTTTTTTTAATGTTGTTATCAGTATACTCTGGTGTAACACAGGCAAATAGGAAAATAATGGGGAAAAGATTAAACAAATTATAAGAATTATGCCACAAAAGCTGCCCATTCCTCAAATCTGTAATAGAAAGACACAGCAATGAGTTACATGTATCTGCTCCTTAAAGGTAGGGTAGGTAAGAATGGAGAAGTGCGCTAGAATTTGAAATTACACAGCCGAAAAAAATCTTCCTCTTCCTTCAGACTTCCTCACAGAGCCCCTCCTCCAACACACACGAACGCGCACATGACCAATGAGGGCACGAGATAAGTTTGTGCACAGATGGAAGGCTGACAGGCAGGTAGGCCATCCAGTTACTTTAGCCGGGCCGGCTCAGATGATTGGTCGTGCTTTTTACAGCGCCACGGCTTCCACAGATGACTTTTTTTAATGTATTAATTGTCAAAGCAGTTAAGATATTCATTGCTATCGGGATGTTAAGAGCATTCCATGGAATATAACAAAAAGTGTTTCTGAAATGAATTACCTACCCCACCTTTAAGAGGAAATGTCAGTGAAAGGTTTGTGTACTGCACCTGTCATAGTCTCCGTTGCACAGCGCTCTGACAGGGATTTTGAAGGCCTGCCACACCGGATCCAGATTGTTCTTCACCACTTCTGTTTTGTGGCAGATGGTATACCTGGGAGTGAGAAATGCAAAGCTGTTTAAAGGGGACACGTTATTCATTTTTGCGTTTTTAAATTAACCCTTATGTTGTGTTCGGGTCTCCTGTGACCCGTTTCAAGTTAAAATTAGATGATAACTACGCTCTAGTTTTTTTTAACGGAACGAGGCTTCATGATATCCTCCACAGCAGCTATATAAACACTACAGAACTGATTTTGACAATTTTTGCCAAGTCTGAAGGTCTCTAAAAAAAGAAGTGTATAATTTGGTGTTGGGGTCTGGGGAGACCCAGCAGAATTGTTTTGGGTGACTCGAGGTCAAATTTGGCACAATCAAGATTCATCTTTGACTTCAGACACCCCTCCCCCGCCTCCTTCATCCACTGGAACAATAATTGTTCACAACATGCACCTGGTCTCCCCTCCCTCTGCACCCCTCCCCCCACGGGAACTCCACCTTTCTCAAAGAATATGTACACCAACACTTGAACCTGAACTCACACATGCACGTGTGCAATATGTGGTGTAATGTGTTTGGGGCCATAACATTAAATTACAACAGGATTGTACGGTTATGAATGCATTATAAGTTAGTTATGATGTAGTTCAAATAATATTGGATGATAGTCATTTTTTTGGTGTGTTTTGGACTGAGATAAATCATGTGTCAAAATGTACCCGCGATCACCATGAAGGGTAACAGCTTTCGAACACAAGGGTTAAGCAGAAGTAATCATTTTCTTGGACATAATTAACAGTTTTCCAAAAAGAATCCATATAAAATAAGTAAGTTAAATACACTACTAAATTGTTTACATTTGCTACACCCATCCTTCTACATATCATATTATAAGTGGGGAATTTTCTTATCCCAACATGATAGTCAGCCTCCCAAAGGCTCCCTTTGACAAAAAGCAATGTCATTTTTCTGCTGGAATATTGCAGAAAATAAGCTCTTGGGCAAACACCTGTTAATGATACTTAGACATTTTGTTCAGCAGGATAATCTCCACATATTAACACATTAATGTTTGCAGCATAAATCGGAAGAAGTAAAAAGCTAAAGTGAGGCTTAGAAAGAACTACATGACTTCACGTCACCACCGCTAAGCTAAAGGCGGCTAATGTTCGACACGATGACTCCGAGTAGTCTCATTTAGTCACTTGTTAGCAACCACCATGTTTAAGAAAAGTAAAAGTTTCAGATGTTCACTTTGGGTATTTACTGAGCTATATCACGTTGTGGAACAAAACATTCAAATCTTTTTAGCTTGTGTTGACTACAGATCTCATCTCAGACCTTTACATACAAACTCATTAAAAATAAAGTAGACTTTGAGGCAACAGAACAAAGAAGTGTTAAAATGCCAACTCATTTCTGTGTTTAGGACATATTCCTGCACCACTGTATAGGCTATCTTTTCACTACTATAATTGGTGTCTAGGAATGTATAACTAAAAGTTGAAGCTGGCAGTAGACAGACACCACAATATAGTTTAAATAGTGCATAAAACCAAACAATATTAAATATAAATTCCCCTTTTCTGCTTTTTCTCTCAAAGGAGAACATAGGACATGTGGTTTACAGAGCTAGCCAGAAAACTACTTTAGGCTAAGAACAAAACCCTGTGACTCGCTCTCTGTTATGAGGGGAGTGGAATGATATAAGTATTTTATAAAACATGATATTTGACTGAAATAATAGCTTCCTGTTCTTTTATATGCGGCACCTAGTCTGGCTCTTTGTTACCACAGCGTGCGGCTGTTATAGCCCGCGGCGGAACATTTAGGCTGCATCAGTAAATACCCAGCTGCAGAACAAGAGAGTGTGGCTCCACTAAGACGCTGAAGTCGACTTGAATAAAAGCATCTGCGGGGCAAAGAAAGTGCGACCTACGTACACATTTCTCCATAACTCCATCTCCTCCGTCCTTTCTGCCTTTATTTTCCTCTTGTCAACTCTGTCCCATTATCTCTGCTCATCCCTCCTTCTGCTGCTTTCTCCTGTTAACGTCTGCACGCCGTAAGTCACATACACTGCACCCAGCATTATGTAACACCACATAGGCAGTTGAGTCCTTACAGTATATCCTCTGTATGGAGGCTTTTTGGAGCATGAAAAATCACGCTCACAGTCTATATTCATTTCAGGCATCTGTATATGGCGTGTAAAACTGAGATAGCTGCTTTTGTTCATTCAGAACATTGACGGGGGAAGCTGCTGTCGACTTACGATCCGTCTTCGTTACTACGGTAAAAGACGAGGAAAGGATCTGATTTCCCGAAGAAGTCCTTCTTGTCCAGCTTGTTGCCACAAAACTGCAGCATCACGGACTCCTGAAGCAGAGGGAAGTAATCAAAAATAGACGTTAAACAGCCTCAGGTCAGAAGAAATGACACACAATTGCTTTCACAACACGTTAGCATAGATCCTCCTGTTAATTAGCTTTAAATAAATACTGTTGTAGAAACATCTTGGAGCACAATATTACAATGTACTGTGTATCCAGAAAACTAAAGAACACTTTGCATATCTATAATTGTTCATTGTTAGACCACTGAGTCCTGGGAGATAATATCAAAACTTAATTTGATCCTTCCTGAAACAAAGATGAATTCAAGGTAATCTCACTTAATTCCACCCATGAACATTTCGAAACTTGCTTATTATCTCAGATCTATAATTAGTGATCTAATATTTAATAGTGTTGTACGGTTTTTGAAACAATGCCTTTCCTTGTGTTCTAGTTCTTAATTAAGCAATTTCCTTTTTCTCCGGATGAGTGCGAGTTGAAGAAAAAATCAAAACATGATCAACTTTACTGCAAGGCATGTTGTTTATTACTAGAAGATCAATCAATGGCTCTACAATGATTTTTCTCTCATAATATGTTGATACAAAACAGCTATATCATCAGTAGGGATGGGTATCGTTAAGGTTTTAACGGTACTACTACTTTTATCGATACCGCTTATCGGTCCGGTCTTTTAACGGGACTCTTATCGGTTCTTTTGGAGAAAAAAATAAGGTAAGCTAAACTAGTAAACTAACTAAACGAATTGTGAACAAAACTAACATTGCTTTTTATTTAAATTTAATACATAATATTTCACATCAAAAGAAACAACAACGTTTTAACAAATCGTATTAAATAATCTGATGACAGAACTGTGAACAGAATAGCTGAAACTTTAACATAATAATTAACTCTGTTACCTCTAATCATTAACCCATGTTTGTATAATGTAGTTAACTCCGTGTGTTGCTGCTAGCATACATAACACCTGACGTGGAAACGTTACTCGTGGACGGGGCTACAGAGCTACAAGAAAGACAGTCGGTGCATTTCTCCGTTTGAATGTGGTGCACTTTTACAAGATTATTGCACTTTTGGTAACGAGCATCGAGACGGGTAAAGTTTAACCACACCTCGGAGCGCTTAGTTCTCCTCGACATCTCCTGTGTGTGTGTGTGTGTGTGTGTGTGTGTGTGTGTGTGTGTGTGTGTGTGTGTGTGTGTGTGTGTGTGTGTGTGTGTGTGTGTGTGTGTGTGTGTGTGTGTGTGTGTGTGTGTAGACTGCCCCGCCCCCTCGCACACAGACGGGGGAGAGAGATCTCTCATCTGGATTGGAAAGATCGAAAATACATCAAAGATGCATTTTTTTTGCATATTAGAAACGGAGTTGGCGACACTAAGACTGCAATATAATGTTTATGTAGCAATAATACACATGACATATATTTTTTAAATGTCTCCAGTACCGATGAAAAGACCGATAACGTTGGAGTTTAAAAGTACCACGGTCTTTAATAATTCAGCCCGGGGCGCCTTTAATACCGGGGCTCGGGCTCGGTACCCATCCCTAATCATTTGACACTAAAACGTGACATTAACCATTTAGTATTTAGACCTTAAAGAGAAAATGCTATTACATTTCACTACACATACCTTGTTGTAAAGTGACGCATCTACTCTACAGCAAACAACCAGATGGGCCTTTTTTGCACTTTTTCAAGAAATAGCTTATTTAGTTTGAGGTGGTTTGTGAGTCACTATTGTGCTCATCACAAAGTTCAAATGAAGACAGGACAAGAGCGTAAACACAGTCTGTGTTGTCTTAAACAGAAAAGCTAAGTCTTCTAAAATGGTCGAACACTTACATTATGAACAAAAGTGGATTTATTGATCTTCCAGCACGCAGAAATATAGACCAAACCTCCTCTGTGTTTAAATGACCACTTATATGTTAAAGAAAACCAGTTAAGTCATAATATTGTGAGATAGTGCTTGATGCTTCTTCCTAATTGCAGTAGTGGAGTGGTATTTTTAGACAATACACATTTAGATAGTACACTTAGTTCTCTAATTGAGGTCAAATTCTGGTGTCATGGCAACGCGAGTGTTTCACAAATAATGTCCTCGGTGCATCCTTACATCAGAGTCAGTGCAACAAGGGATTAAGACAGTGTTGGGAGGTGTAAAGTGAACATTTATTTATAATTGTGTTGTTTACAACCAGTTTGTAAGTATATTAAAACGAATTAAATCTTATAGCTCCACAAAAAACAAACTGCCATAAAGGTTATATTGTTAATTTTTTGTTGATTCAACTTCTTTGTGGTTTTGTTGAGTTGTATTGAGTTATACTGAGAGGTGTTTCTAAAATGATGTACGTCCTTTTTAATATATATTGGAATAAATTGAGATTTTTTTCGCAGAAATGTTTGTTTTAAACAGCATTGTTTTTAGCTCGTCTGATTTTGTGTCGAAAGGAGCCAGTTGAGGTGGTTCGGGCACCTAGTTAGGATGCCACCTGGGCGCCTCCCTAGGGAGGTGTTCCAGGCACGTCCAGCTGGGAAGAGACCAAGGGGTAGACCTAGGACCAGGTGGAAGGATTATATCTCTTCGCTGGCCTGGGAGCGCCTTGGGATCCCCCAGTCAGAGCTGGTTGATGTCGCCAGGGAAAGGAACGTTTGGGGCTCTCTGCTGGAACTGCTACCCCCGAGACCCGACCACGGATAAGAGGGAGAAGACGGATAGATGGTCTGACTTTTTCTTTCTCGCATTTCTGCACTATACTGCCACTTTTATCACAGCTCTTCCACATTTGTCAAAGTCCTTCGTCATATTATGTATTTTATTAATGTTTTAATATGTATTTATTTAGTTTTTGCTCTTATTTTAACGCACCATACACCGAAGCAAATTCCCAATAAATGTAAACAGGGTATATGCAAGAATCCTGAAGTCAAAGTTAATACCTTTTTTAAGACCCTTTCCATACATTTTAAGACCTCATCTCCACTTTGAGTTTTAACCGGTTACCTTGGCGACACACTTTACCTCACATTGACTATATACAGTATTGATTGTCCTTCCTCCTTATCTTCCAACCATTTGGACGCAGACTTGCATTTCCCCATAACGATGTTATTTAGCAACCGGCGTAAACGGACCTTCGCGCTATCAAGCAGTGAGTGTGCGATGTCCTGTTCAGATGACGTCAAACCCAACGGGATGCCATAAATAAACTACACAGAATCACACTACACACCTACGCAATGATTACATTCAGGCACACTGTAGAATACAACCTCTTTGGACCATTCATATACTTATTGAAAACAAGCTACAGAATATAATACCTTGGAAAATGCCGTTTCATACTTTTTAATAGCCTTCATTTTCGCTAAATTGATTTATCAACTTTTAATACTTTTTAAGACCCCGCGGACCCCCTGGTAAAAGTGTACCTAATAAACACGTAATGTAAAATGCTAAATTTGTTTAATAAGGTTACAGCAATTTGATTACAAAAGTAATAAAAGATTTGAAAAGTACCAGACTAGTGCATCTTGTCACGTTGAAAGATGTATGAACCGTAAGGTCGGTCTAATTAGAGAAAAAGTATCTTGAAAGTCTTGAAGTTTTCTTCTGAATGAATCAACAGGGGAAGCAGACAGATCTTACCCTGCAGTTGCTCAGCTCCTCTGCTCTGACGATGAAGGTGCCACATTTCTTCCCTGGGATCCCACTGGACAAAAAGAGAGAACAAATTAAATATTCCTTTTACATTCAAACAGCCAAAGGCCTCAAACAATGCTTTTATAACAGGTAGGACTATGGTTTGAAACAGAGACACAAGAAAACAATATGTCGTCGTAATCTATACTGTAGGTCATTTTAAACGTGTTACATCAGTTTTATTTTGGTTTTTGTATCTCTTGCATCTTCTTTCAATTCCTAAGAAGAAAAAAACGTTGCTTACACTAATTCTATTTAAATTATATTACCCTTCTTTCTGTTACAAAAGCTCACTGCATTCTGTATCTGTGAGAGAATTGCTCTTGATACTGTTGTGCTTTTTACATTCTGCGCTGTTTTCAAACTGTCTATTTCATAATAACATTGATCCTACAGCACACACTGTACATTGAGGTTTGTTAGTATCAGAACTTAATGAACTTTACAAAGGCTTCAGCTCTCCTCCAATTAGATGATAAACTGCATTTAGCTGTACTGAATGAATCTAATATTCTCAAATGAATACTGATAAATACTGTTTTCTACTGTATACAGGCAAACAGAAGTATGTTATATTATTCTGCGGTCACTTAAATACTCTACCACTATATATACACTGTAATATACATTGACCACACATTTGTACATACTTGTTGTTAATACATATTGTAGTACAATGTGCACAGTTTGTATTCATATGTACATTGCATACTCTATAATATATATAACACACTAATATTGCCATATCTGATTTACTGTGAGGAGATTTGGGGAAACACGTACAAAACCAACCTACAGCCGTTATGCACATTACAAAAAAGGGCTATAAGAGTTATCAATAATGTTGGATATCTTGAACACACTAATGTATTATTTTTGAAGTCACACATATTGAAGTTCATTGATCTGGTTACATTTAAAACGACACACATCATGTACAGAGCAAGACATAATCTACTTCCTAGGAAATTAAAAACATTGTTTGTAGACAGAGAGGGTGGGTATAATTTGAGAGGAAATCTACATTTTAAACAACTCAAGGTCAGAACAACTCTGAGAAGTATGAGTTTAACAATCTGTGGGGTGATTTTATGAATGGTTTGGAGCAGGAGTTCAAACAAAGCACAAGCATCATTCAGTTTAAAAGGATGTACAGAAACACTTTTTTGGAAAAATATGAGAATGAAGAAAGGGGATTGAAGATGAGAAATTATTGTATATGTGTCACGGTGTGTGAAGCAGGAAGGACCCAAATGCAGATTAAAGTGCAAATTCCTTTATTTCAAGGCTAGGTGATAACAAAGACAAAACAGAACACTCACCAACGAACTAGTCATGACACAAGACGAACCGACAAAGACAGACAGAAAAAACAGAACTTAAATACACACAAGACTAATCACACAAACAAGACACAGGTGAGGAGGGAGGAGAAAACACAGGGACACCAGGTGAACACAATCGGGTAATCAGACACACCAGGGAAACTAACGACAGGGAACCACAGACAAATCCAAACAAGACACAACGCAGACAGAAACAGGCAAGACAGGAAGTGAAGACCTTTCAAAATAAAACATGAAACAAGACAAGACAAAACACCATAAAGACAGATCGTGACAATATGTATGTATAAATGTAAATGTATGTAGGAATAACTTGCATAATGATTTAAAGGACAATCATTGATCAAGTAAGGGGTGGGAATTAATAAGCATTTGCTTCCTCCTACTCCCTTTCGGACACATATGATTTATTATTAATATGAAGACTTTTTTTGTTGAATATACAAATATTACCATGAATGTGGATAAATACTGTATTATAACAATACGGTATTCTGTTTTTCACATTTGTTATTTGTTAATCTGTTCGAAATAAAGCCTGAAAATGAAAAAAATGAAAATGAAATGTTTTTTTCATTTTGTTTTAAAATGTCACCAAACCAAATTTCCCCCCAGGATAAATACTCTTCTATAATATTCTTAAAATCTGTCATCTGAGACGCCTTGTAGATTGGGAATCCAATATATTCTTCTCTCTCTAACATGTATCTTCCTGATTGTGTAAATACATATTAATGTATGCTGAATGAACACCTTTGAAAAAGAGCATCGACATAATCTAAGCCCATCCAGTGACATTTCAGCTGCTTGTTTGTTTACATCCTGAGCTGGCGAGGCGTAATATTCAGCCAATAAAGCCGAGGGAGGCTGACCACTAAAAATAGAGCGGATGAATGCCACAAACCGCGGGCCTGAATCAGAGCGCGGACGTGGGAGGGATAATTTCATTTGGCTAAGCACTGTCCAGTACAATAACAGATGTGGAGACACTGATGGCACATTGATGCGAGGCTTTGATACCCCCACTCCCACCTCCACCCCCCGTCACCTGAGACACACCGCTGCCCTTTGATGCACGGGGGGGGGGGGCATTCAGTGCAATTAATTTAGCGTATGAGAAGAGAGATGGCTCAGTAAGGGGCAGATGGAAAAATGGCAGAGAGACAGAGAGATGGAGGGAAGGATGAGAGGCGGCTGAGTGACGCTGTACACGGACTAAATGTGATTTTACACTGTGATTATCTTGTGTGCTGATAAAAGATATCTTACATATTAGTAATACGGCGGATATATCTTATATTCTAGATTGCCAGCATATTAAACTAATAAGATGTCGACAGTAGGCTGCTTAACCTTTTTTTTTTAAAGGGGCCGAATTATAATCATTTTCAGGTGTATATCAGTATGTAGTGTCTCTACTTTAAAGAGTCCTCTCCTGCTGATGTTCAGGTGTATATCAGTATGTAGTGTCTCTACTTTAAAGAGTCCTCTCCTGCTGATGTTCAGGTGTATATCAGTATGTAGTGTCTCTACTTTAAAGAGTCCTCTCCTGCTGATGTTCAGGTGTATATCAGTATGTAGTGTCTCTACTTTAAAGAGTCCTCTCCTGCTGATGTTCAGGTGTATATCAGTATGTAGTGTCTCTACTTTAAAGAGTCCTCTCCTGCTGATGTTCAGGTGTATATCAGTATGTAGTGTCTCTACTTTAAAGAGTCCTCTCCTGCTGATGTTCATGTGTATATCAGTATGTAGTGTCTCTACTTTAAAGAGTCCTCTCCTGCTGATGTTCATGTGTATATCAGTATGTAGTGTCTCTACTTTAAAGAGTCCTCTCCTGCTGATGTTTCAGGTGTATATCAGTATGTAGTGTCTCTACTTTAAAGAGTCCTCTCCTGCTGATGTTCAGGTGTATATCAGTATGTAGTGTCTCTACTTTAAAGAGTCCTCTCCTGCTGATGTTCAGGTGTATATCAGTATGTAGTGTCTCTACTTTAAAGAGTCCTCTCCTGCTGATGTTCAGGTGTATATCAGTATGTAGTGTCTCTACTTTAAAGAGTCCTCTCCTGCTGATGTTCAGGTGTATATCAGTGTGTAGTGTCTCTACTTTAAAGAGTCCTCTCCTGCTGATGTTCAGGTGTATATCAGTATGTAGTGTCTCTACTTTAAAGAGTCCTCTCCTGCTGATGTTCAGGTGTATATCAGTATGTAGTGTCTCTACTTTAAAGAGTCCTCTCCTGCTGATGTTCAGGTGTATATCAGTATGTAGTGTCTCTACTTTAAAGAGTCCTCTCCTGCTGATGTTCAGGTGTATATCAGTATGTAGTGTCTCTACTTTAAAGAGTCCTCTCCTGCTGATGTTCAGGTGTATCTCAGTATGTAGTGTCTCTACTTTAAAGAGTCCTCTCCTGCTGATGTTCAGGTGTATATCAGTATGTAGTGTCTCTACTTTAAAGAGTCCTCTCCTGCTGATGTTCATAGTGTATATCAGTATGTAGTGTCTCTACTTTAAAGAGTCCTCTCCTGCTGATGTTCATGTGTATATCAGTATGTAGTGTCTCTACTTTAAAGAGTCCTCTCCTGCTGATGTTCAGGTGTATATCAGTATGTAGTGTCTCTACTTTAAAGAGTCCTCTCCTGCTGATGTTCAGGTGTATATCAGTATGTAGTGTCTCTACTTTAAAGAGTCCTCTCCTGCTGATGTTCAGGTGTATATCAGTATGTAGTGTCTCTACTTTAAAGAGTCCTCTCCTGCTGATGTTCAGGTGTATATCAGTATGTAGTGTCTCTACTTTAAAGAGTCCTCTCCTGCTGATGTTCAGGTGTATATCAGTGTGTAGTGTCTCTACTTTAAAGAGTCCTCTCCTGCTGATGTTCAGGTGTATATCAGTATGTAGTGTCTCTACTTTAAAGAGTCCTCTCCTGCTGATGTTCAGGTGTATATCAGTATGTAGTGTCTCTACTTTAAAGAGTCCTCTCCTGCTGATGTTCAGGTGTATATCAGTATGTAGTGTCTCTACTTTAAAGAGTCCTCTCCTGCTGATGTTCAGGTGTATATCAGTATGTAGTGTCTCTACTTTAAAGAGTCCTCTCCTGCTGATGTTCAGGTGTATCTCAGTATGTAGTGTCTCTACTTTAAAGAGTCCTCTCCTGCTGATGTTCAGGTGTATATCAGTATGTAGTGTATCTACTTTAAAGAGTCCTCTCCTGCTGATGTTCAGGTGTATATCAGTATGTAGTGTCTCTACTTTAAAGAGTCCTCTCCTGCTGATGTTCAGGTGTATCTCAGTATGTAGTGTCTCTACTTTAAAGAGTCCTCTCCTGCTGATGTTCAGGTGTATATCAGTATGTAGTGTCTCTACTTTAAAGAGTCCTCTCCTGCTGATGTTCAGGTTCTTATCAGTATGTAGTGTCTCTACTTTAAAGAGTCCTCTCCTGCTGATGTTCAGGTGTATATCAGTATGTAGTGTCTCTACTTTAAAGAGTCCTCTCCTGCTGATGTTCAGGTGTATATCAGTATGTAGTGTCTCTACTTTAAAGAGTCCTCTCCTGCTGATGTTCAGGTGTATATATCAGTATGTAGTGCCTCTACTTTAAAGAGTCCTCTCCTGCTGATGTTCAGGTGTATATCAGTATGTAGTGTCTCTACTTTAAAGAGTCCTCTCCT